TTAGAAAAAAATATTTTTTCGAAGACCAAAAGGATTTTGTTTTTCAAAAAATCAAAGACCAAAATGGTTTAAACAAAAATTTCTTCAAAGACCAAGAAACAAATTTTTTGGAAGACCAACAGAACTTCGATTTAAAAAAATATTTTTTTTTTTCGCAGGACGTGGATTTTTTTTTTAAAAATATGTTTTTAAAACCATCTGGACTTGGATTTTTTTTAAAAAAAATATTTTTTCAAAGGCCATCCGAACTTGAATTAAAAAAAAAATTAAAAACCAATAGAACGTGGATTTAAAAAAAATGTATTTTTTTTTTTTCAAAGAACGAAAGAACTTAGATTAAATAAAATATATTTTTTAAGACCAACAAAACATGGATTTTTTTTCTTTTTTTGAAGACCATAATAATTGGATTAAAAAAATTGTATTTTTTCATTGACGGATAGAAGGTGGATTTAGAAAAATATATATATTTTTTTTCAAATACCAAAAGAGACTGGACTTAAAAAAATATTTTCCCTCGAAGACCAAAAGCATTTGTGTTTCTTAAAATATATATTTTTTCAAAGACCAAAATGGATTAAAAACAATTTTCTTCAAAGACCAAAAAAGGATCACAAAACGTGGATTAAAAAATATATATATTTTCATATATCTTAATTTTCAAAGACTACTCGAACCGGAATTTAAAAAAACATTTTTTTCAACGATCTACAGAATGTGTATTTAATTTTATTTTATTTTGAATATTTTTTCATAGACGGATAGAATGTGGATTTAAAGAAAATTTATATTTTTTTCAAAGACCAAAAGAGTCTGGATTTAAAAAAAATATTTTTTCGAAGACCAAAAAAATTTGTGTTTTTTTAAAATATATATATTTTCAAAGAAGAAAATGGATTAAAAATCAATTTTCTTCAAAGACCAAGAAACTATTTTTTTCAAAAACCTACAGAACTTGGGTTAAAAATCAAATATTTTTTTTCAAAGACCAAAAGAACTTGGATTAAAAAAAAAAAAAAACATTTGTTCCGAAGCCCACTGTGTTTGGATTTTTAAATAATTATTTTCAAAAAGAACTGGGATAAAAATAATTTCTTCAACAACAAGCAGGATGTTGATTAAAAAAAAAAAAAATATGTCCAAAGATCAAAAAAAAAAAAAATGGATTAAAAACACATTTTCCGTCAAACTTATGTTTAAATGTTTATTTTTCCAAAGACCAATAGAAATTGGATTTGAAAAAAATATTTTTTCAAAGACCAACAGAAGGTTTTTTTTAATATTTCTTTAAAGACCATCTGGACGTGGATATTTTAAAAAATATATATTTTTTTTCAAATACCAAAAGAGACTGGACTTAAAAAAAATATTTTCCCTCGAAGACCAAAAGCATTTGTGTTTCTTAAAATATATGTTTTTTCAAAGACCAAAATGGATTAAAAACAATTTTCTTCAAAGACCAAAAAAGGATCACAAAACGTGGATTAAAAAAATATATTTTTGCAAAGACCATCCCAACCTGGATTTTTTAAAAAATATTTTTTTAAAGACGAAAAAAATTGGTTTAAAAACTATGGTATCAAAGACCAAAAGAACTTACGTTTAAACAAAAACACATTTTTAAAAAGCCAACCGAACCGTGATTTAAAAAGAAAGTATTTTTTCAAGAAGAAACAAGACGTGTTTTTTTAAAAAATATTTTTTCCAAAACCAACTGTCCTTTTTTCCAAAATCAACTGGATGTGGATTTTTTTTAAAATATTTTTTCAAAGTCCAAAGGAGCTTAGTTTAAAAAAATGTTTTTTCTTCAATTACCATTCGAACCTGGATTTTTTGAAAAATATTTTTTAAAGTCGAAAATTAGTCGGATTAAAGAAAATCCACCAAACCTAGACTAAAAAAAAAAATCAAAGACCAATCGAATCTGGATTTAAAAAGAAAGTACTTTCTCAAGGACAAACAGGAAGGGGAATTAAAAAAAAAACATTTTTTTAAAAACCAACAGGACGTGGTTTTTTAAAAAATATTTTTTTAAAAACCAACAGGACGTGGATTTTTTAAAAAATATTTTTTCAAAGATCAACTGAACATGGATTTTTTAAAAAATATTTTTTCAAAAATCAACTGAGCGTGGATTTTTTAAAAAATATTTTTTTTTGAATGACCAACTGGACGTGGATTTTTTAAAAAATATTTTTTTTAATTTAATAACTGGACTTGGATTTTTTAAAAAAAAATTTTTTTTTTGAATGACCAACTGTACGTGGATTTTTTAAAAAATATTTTTTTGAATGACTAACTGGATGTGGATTTTTTAAAAATTATTTTTTTGAATGATCAACTGGACGTGGATTTTTTAAAAAATATTTTTTAGATTGACCAACTGGACCTGGATTTTTTAAAAAATATTTTTTAGATTGACCAACTGGACCTGGATTTTTTAAAAAATATTTTTTTAATTGACCAACTGGACCTGGATTTTTTAAAAAATATTTTTTTAAAGACCAAAAGAGCTTGGATTGAAAAAAATGTTGTTCTTCAAACACCTATAGGATGTGGATTTTTAAAAAATTATTTTTCCAAATATGAAAAAAACGTGTTTTAAAAAATTTTTTGTTTTCAACGACCAAAAGAACTTGCGTTTAAACAAAAATATATTTTTAAAAGACCAGCAGAAGGTGGATTAAAAAAAATCCACCATCTATATTTATTATATCTACATAATTCTCTTGGTCGGTGGCCAAAAGTGAAATTTGATTTCGATTATTTTCTCCTTTAACTTGTTAGGCATCACAATGAATATTTCGAGAAAATTTCGATCAAATTCTAAAATATTCAAATTATACCAAATAATCATATTTTTTGTTAATATGGCCAAACTAAGGGTAAAACGATGGAAAGAGGTCACCCCTTCTCCTTCCCATCGCCCTCTAAACAAACCCTGAAAATACTGTTGATAAGAAAAGTGACTGAACGTTTTTTCCGATGAACTGATGATGATTTTGAAAAATCTAAAAAATCATAACTTGTCCTTATCTCTGCCAAACTGATAACCTCTGTAATCGTTTCAACCTTCTTCCTGATTGAATTTGCCATTAAAAATATATAAAAATGCCAATGGGCTCATGGGAAAATCGCATTGATTTGCCTGCTGATCTGCAGCTGCTTTATTTTTGCCTGTCATGGCCAATATGAACTGCGAACCAATGGCCGTGGCGGTGTTCGCGGCGGAGGTCGCATAGATGCTGTTGGACCCAGGTATGGATTACATTGCTTTGACGATAGGCGTTTTGTGAAGCTAGCAAGGGATGGTGGCGGCCGAAGGCGTTAGACAAAGAGAAGATAGTCTAGAAATGAGATTAAATTGTTATAACTATTTTTGTTGAATTCTTGAAATAAATAAAATAAAAAATAGCCAGGTCAATTTGAGCTGGCTATATATCACCCCATATTTCGGGAAGTATTATTTGAAATTGGTTGTCCTGGTCCTTGAAAAAATATTTTTTAAAAAATCCACGTTTGTCCTGGTCCTTGAAAAAATATTTTTTAAAAAAATCCACGTTTGTCCTGGTCCTTGAAAAAATATTTTTTAAAAAATCCACGTTTGTCCTGGTCCTTTAAAAACATTCTTTAAAAAATTCACGTTTGCCCTGGTCCTTTAAAAATATTTTTTTTTTTAAAAATCCACGTTTGCTCAGGTCCATGAAAAAATATTTTTTAAAAAATTCATGTTCGTCATGGTCTTTGCAAAAATATTTTTTAAAAAATCCACGTTTCTGCTAATCCTTGAAAAAATATTTTTTTAAAAAATCCACGTCACTGCTATTCGTTGAAAAAATATTTTTTAAAAAATCCACGTTTCTGCTAATCCTTGAAAAAATATTTTTTAAAAAATCCACGTTTCTGCTAATCCTTAAAAAAATATTCTTTAAAAAATCCTCGTTTGTCCTGGTCCTTGAAAAAAATATTCTTTAAAAAACCTTGGCCCTTGAAAAAATATTTTTTAAAAAATCTAAGTTTGAAGTGGCCTTTGAAAAAATATTTTTTTAAAAAATCCACGTTTGTCCTGGTCCTTGAAAAAATATTTTTTAAAAAATCCACGTTTGTCCTGGTCCTTGAAAAAATATTTTTTAAAAAATCCACGTTTGTCCTGGTCCTTGAAAAATATTTTTTAAAAAATCCACGTTTGTCGTGGTCCTTGAAAAAATATTTTTTAAAAAATCCACGTTTTCGGTGGTCCTTGAAAAAATATTCTTTAAAAAATCCACGTTTCTGTTAATCCTTGAAAAAATATTTTTTTAAAGATCCACGTTTCTGTAGGTCATTGAAAAAATATTTTTTAAAAAATCCACGTTTCGGCTAGTCCTTGAAAAAATATTTTTTAAAAAATCCACGTTTCTGTCAATCCTTGACAAAATATTTTTTAAAAAATCCACGTTTCTGTAGGTCATTGAAAAAATATTTTTTAAAAAATCCACGTTTCGGCTAGTCCTTGAAAAAATATTTTTTAAAAAATCCACGTTTCTGTTAATCCTTGAAAAAATATTTTTTAAAAAATCCACATTTCTGTTAATCCTCGAAAAAATATTTTTTAAATAATCCACGTTTCTGTTAATCCTTGTAAAAATATATTTTTGTTAAATCCACGTTTCTGTTAATCCTTGAAAAAATATTTTTTAAAAAAAACCACGTTTCGGCTAGTCCTTGAAAAAATCCACGTTTCTTTTGGTCCATGAAAAAATATTCTTTAACAAATCCACGTTTGTCCCAGTCCTTGAAAAAATATTCTTTAAAAAATCCACGTTTCTGTTGGTCCTTGAAGAGATATTTTTTAAAAAATCCACGTTTCGGTTAGTCCTTGAAAAAAATATTTTTTAAAAAATCCACGTTTCGGCTAGTCGTTGAAAAAATATTTTTTAAGAAATCCACGTTTCGGCTAGTCCTTGAAAAAATATTTTTTAAAAAATCCACGTTTGTCCTGGTCCTTGAAAAAATATTCTTTGAAAAATCCAATGTCATGGTCATTGTTTTACATTATAAAGCCTCAATATTTAGTGCGCATTTAAAACCTGGCGCCTCCTAATCTCTTGACCCCCCTCAATTCAATTCTTGGAAATTCAATCCCCCACATTTTTTTTCCAAGCTAATTGTAAACAAATCGTCAAGTGTCGCATCATCTCATGTAACGCCAAGATAATAATTATTAAACTATAAAATTTGTATTTATTATCAATAAAAGTGATTGGAAATAAATCATTGTCAGCAGCAGCATAAGCTGTCAAGCAAATCTGTTGGGGGAAATCCCAACTGAAACTTGATAAGAAAAAAAAAAAAAAAACAAACGCAGCAAGAAAATTTCAGCGAAAACTAAACATGAGCCGTGGCCAAGAAAACACGTGAGTGAGGGCAGAACTGGAAAACCATCGTTTAATCTAACGGGACTTTTGGTATAAATAGTGAAAACTGGAGGTGAGAAAGTATCATTCGACAAAATGAAAATCTACGCTTTATTTGCATTTGTATTGGCCCTTTTGGCACTGGCCATGGGTGAGTAAAGGATGTGGAAGGAGAGGAAGGATAGGATAATAATATTTTTTAAAAATTTATTTTTTTTTCAGGCAACCCCAATCCCAATCCTAAACCCTTACCCGGCGGAGGTGGTGGCGGAGGCGGCGGTGGTGGCTCCTTTGGAGGTGGTGGTGGCGGCGGAGGCGGTGGTGGTGGCAAGTAAATTCGTAACACCCAGCTGCTCAGTTCCTAGTTGTTGACCACGCTTTTGTTAAAAAATGTTGAGATTTGTTAAAAAATAATAAAAATTTTTGAAATATATTTTTTTAAATATCATCGAAAATAAGGAGTTTTTATTAAGGGATTTATAAAAGAAATTAAAAAATATTTTGTCAAGGATCAAAAAGATTGCATTTTTACGGACAATTTTTTCAAGGACCAACAGGAAAAACGTGGATTTTTTAAAAATTATTTTTTCAAGGACTATGACAAACGTGAATTTTTTTAAAAAAATATTTTTTCGAGGACCAGGTCAAACGTGGATTTTTAAAAAAAATATTTTTTCAAGGACCAGGACAAACGTGGATTTTTTATAAAATATTTTTTCAAAGTAGAAATAGACGTCGATTTTTTAAAAATTATTTTTTCAAAGTAGCAATAGACGTGGATTTTTTAAAAAATATTTTTTCAAAGTAGCAAAAGACGTGCATTTTTTAAAAAATATATTTTTAAAGTAGCATTAGACGTGTACTTTTTAAAAAATATTATTTGAAAGTAGCAATAGACGTGGATTTTAAAAAAAATATTTTTTCAAAGTAGCAATCGTCGTGGATTTTTTAAAAAAATATTTTTTAAAGTAGCAATAGACATGAATTTTTTAAAAAAATATTTTTTCAAAGTAGCATTAGACGTGGACTTTTTAAAAAAAAATATTTTTTCAAAATAGCAATAGACGTGGATTTTTTAAAAAATATTTTTTTCAAAGTAGCAATAGACGTGGATTTTTTAAAACATATTTTTTCAAAGTAGCATTAGACGTGGATTTAAAAAAAAATTCAAGGTAGCATTGGACGTGGATTTTTTAAAAAAAATATTTTTTCAAAGTAGCAATAGGCGAGGATTTTTTAAAAACCAATTTTTTAAAGTAGCAGTTGGCGTGGATTTTTAAAAAAATATTTTTTCAAAGTAGCAATAGGTATATTTAAAAAAAATTTTTTTAAAATAGTAATAGGCGTGTATTTTTTAAAAAATATTTTTTCAAGGACAAACGTGGATTTTTTAAAGAATATTTTTTTAAGGATCAGGACAAACGTGGATTTTTTAAAGAATATTTTTTTAAGGATCAGGACAAACGTGGATTTTTTAAAGAATATTTTTTTAAGGATCAGGACAAACGTGGATTTTTTAAAGAATATTTTTTTAAGGATCAGGACAAACGTGGATTTTTTAAAGAATATTTTTTTAAGGATCAGGACAAACGTGGATTTTTTTAAGAATATATTTTCAGGACTAACGTGGATTTTTTTAAGAATATATTTTCAAGGATTAAAAGAAACGTGGATTTTTTAGGAATATTTTTACAAAGACCAGGACAAACGTGGATTTTTTTAAGAATATTTTTTCAAGGATTAAAAGAAACGTGGATATTTTAAAGAATATTTTTTTAAGGATTAACAGAAATGTGGATTTTTTTAAAGAATATTTTTTTAAGGATTAACAGAAACGTGGATTTTTTAAAGAATTTTTTTCAAGGACCAGGACAAACGTGGATTTTTTAAAGAATTTTTTTTTCAAGGATTAACAGAATGTGGATCTTTTAAGGAATATTTTTTCAAGAATTAACAGAAACGTGGATTTTTTAAAGAATATTTTTTTTAAGGACCAGGACAAGCGTGGATTCTTTAAAGAATATTTTTTCAAGGACCAGGACAAGCGTGGATTCTTTAAAGAATATTTTTTCAAGGACCAGGACAAGCGTGGATTCTTTAAAGAATATTTTTTCAAGGACCAGGATAAACGTGAATTTTTCAAAGAATATTTTTTCAAGGATTATTAGAAACGTGGATTTTTTAAAGAATATTTTTTTAAGGATTATTAGAAACATGGATTTTTTAAAGAATATTTTTTTAAGGATTATTAGAAACGTGGATTTTTTAAAGAATATTTTTTAAAGGATGGATTTTTTAAAAAATATATATATTTTTTCAGGGCTAGGACAAACGTGGATTTTTTTAAAAAATATTTTTTCAAGCATCAGGACATCAGGACACAATGAAGCTGGGCCCCCAAACAGGCGTTTTTAAAATATATTGAAATTTTTAAAAATTAAAAAAAATATGTTTTTCATGCGACACTTGTTTCCCTTTATTCATGATTTTCATATTCCTTCCTTCCCCTCCCCCTTATATATATCTTTAATAAAAATACATTTTTATGCTGGGTTTTAAATGTTATTGATTAAACAATTTGTATAAACATTGGACCTCAGGGTTTGGTCAGTTCCTGGCAAATTTACTTGCCACCACCACCTCCTCCACCGCCGCCACCGCCATAAAAGCCACCACCTCCTCCGCCGCCTCCACCACCTCCGGGCAATGGTTTGGGTTCAGGATGGGGATTCGGATTGGGATTAGCTGGAAAAAATAATTTATTTCTATTTTTTTTTTTTTAAATCCTGCCAGGGACAATTTCTTCCACTTACCCATGGCCAATGCCAACAAGGCCAAAACAAAGGCAAATAAAGCGTAGAATTTCATTTTGTCAAATGATGATCTTATCTGCAAAATTTACTCGGTATTTATATGAAAATTTTTAAACTATTGGTTTGGAGATGATGGTTGGCAATTACTGGTTTTGAAAAAATAGACAAATTTTAAGCTGTGGCATCGTTGGTATTTAAAAAGGAATTCCCCTTTTCTGAGAAATAAATCTTAGCTTTTTATGTCGCATTACATTTACATTGGATACCTAGAATTAATTGAATGGAGATACCTGATATTTTATGCTTCAATTGTTATTACAACTTGATTGGGGGTATAGAACTGAATTCTGAGAAGAAGATAAAAAAAAACAAGGGCAATTATTGCTAACTACAATGTGAAATTATACAACTAGAAAAATTTAAACTAGGTTCAGGAAAAACAATTTGTATTACAAATTTCCAAAAAAAAACAAAAATTACAATTTGCAAAATTTACTTAACATAAAAAATATTAGGAAAAAATTGAAAAAGCAATTTATCCCATTATGTCCGAGGGATATCATAACAACAACCTGTTATGAATTAAAAAATAAACCCTATTTTTGCTACCAATGATCCTAAAATGTCTAAATATTTGACTGTCAAATTTGACTCAATCGTATCGACCAATTTAAATTTTCACGCATTTTGGTTTGAAATTTTTGTTAAAAATTAAGCTCTCCAAAATGCGAGAATAGAACATATATACAAATGCCCCCTAGTTAATGAATTGAATGAAAAAACAAAAAAATATTTCTGCAAAAGACCACAGAAATAGCTTAAAAAAATTTGCTTCCTTGTAGCCACTGAAATGGATCTTTTAAAAATATTTTCAAACAGCTTCACGTATTGAATTTGAAAAAAAAAATATTTTTTCCAAGAGCCTAAGACTTTGATCCTTGAAAATATAAATTTTTTTAAATATATTTTTTTTTATATTTGCATAAGTGATTCAGTAGATCTTTAAAGGTCTTAGGGTCTATGAAATTTTGGAAGAAAAACGTTAAATTATCCTTAATCCTCTTAAAAATCTCAATAGATCCTTAAACAATATTTTTAAAAAAATCTATTTTTTCCTTTATATTCTTTAAAAATCCTGAAATCAGAATCAGCAGATCGTTGAAAAAAAAAAAAAATTATACGTCCTATGATCTGGTCCTAAAAGAATAATTCTTTGTGTGCCTTTAAAATAAGAAAACGTCTTTAATATCGTTTTTTATGGGTCTTTGAATAACGATTTTGAAAAAAATTGAAGTTTTTTTTAAACTTATGTTTTAAAAACTCTACATTTTTGATGGCCCTACAAAAAATATTCTCAAAAAAAAAAACTTTTTAAAACCTTGACGGTTTGAAGAAATATTCGTCAAATATCGATTTTAGATAATTTTGAAAATTTTTCTTAAAAATACTCTTGCAAGTCTTTTATAAAATGTTTGATGGTATTTAAATTATTGTTAAAAAATCTCATGTTGAGGTTCATACAATATTCTTTAATAAAAATTCTTTCAAAAAATGGACGTTTCTGGTGGTCCTTGAAGGAATATTCTTTGAAAAATCCACGAATGTCCTGGACCTTGAAACAGTATTTAAAAATCCAAATTTGTCCTAAAAAAATATTCCTTAAAATATCCACCAATGTCCTGAACCATGAAAAAAAATTCTTTAAAAATCCAGATTTGTCCTGAAAAAATATTCTTTAAAAAATCCACGCTTATCTTTTAAAGAAATATTGCTTCAAAAAACACTTAAAAATACAGAATTGTCTGGACTTTGAAAAAAAAAATATTCATAAAAAACATTCACGCTGTCTTGGCCTTTGAAAGATTTCTTTTTTTAAAATATACACATTTGTAAGTCCTTGAAATTTTTTTTTAAAAAAATTGTTGAAAAAAACCTTTAAAAAATTCTGTTAGACTTTGAAAAATCCTTCAAAAAATCCACGTTCCGTGAGTCTGTGAAAAATCCTTCAAAAAATCCACGTTCCGTGAGTCTGTGAAAAATCCTTCAAAAAATCCATGTTCTGTCCTACGTTTTGCTAATCCTTGAAAAAATATGAAAAAATATTCTTTAAAAAATCCACGTTTCTGTTGGCTCTTAAAAAAATATTCTTTAAAAAATCCACGTTTGCCCTGGTCCTTGAAAAAATATTCTTTAAAAAATCAACGTTTGTCCTGGTCCTTGAAAAAATATTCTTTAAAAAATCCTTGACCTGGAAAAAGTATTCTTTAAAAAATTCACGTTTGTCCTGGTCGTTGAAAAAGTATTATTTAAAAAAATCCCCGCTTCTGTTGGTCCTTGAAAAAATATTCTTTACAAAATCCTGGACCATGAAAAATATTCTTTAAAAAAATCAACGTTTGTCCTGGTCCTTGAACAAAAGTGAACCAAAAAAGTGAAAAAATATTCTTTAAAAAATCCACGTTTGTCCTGGTCCTTGAAAAAATATTCTTTAAAAAAACCACGTTTGTCCTGGTCCTTGAAAAAATATTCTTTAAATAATCCGCGATAGTCCTGGTCCTTGAAAAAATATTCTTTAAAAAATCCACGTTTGTCCTGGTTTTTAAAAAATATTTTTTAAATAATCCACGTTTCTGTTAATCCTTGAAAAAATATTCTTTAAAAAATCCACGTTTGTCATGTTTTTTAAAAAATATTTTTTAAATAATCCACGATAGTCCTGGTCCTTGAAAAAATACTCTTTAAAAAATCCACGTTTCTGTTGGTCCTTGAAAAAATATTCTTTAAAAAATCCACGTTTATGCTGGTCCTTGAAAAAATGTTCTTTAAAAAATCCACGTTTCTGCAGGTCCTTGAAAAAAAATTCTTTAAAAAAATCCACGTTTGTCCTGGTCCTTCAAAAAATGTTCTTTAAAAAATCTACGTTTTTGCTAGTACTTGAAAAATATTCTTTAAAAAATCCACGTTTCTGTTGGTCCTTGAAAAAATATTCTTTAAAAAATCCACGTTTATGCTGGTCCTTGAAAAAATATTCTTTAAAAATCCACGTTTCTGCAGGTCCTTGAAAAAATATTCTTTAAAAAATCCACGTTTGTCCTGGTCCTTCAAAAAATGTTCTTTAAAAAATCCACGTTTGTCCTGGTCCTTGAAAAATGTTCTTTAAAAAAATTCACGTTTCTGTTGGCTCTTGAAAAAATATTCTTTAAAAAATCCACGTTTGCCCTGGTCCTTGAAAAAATATTCTTTAAAAAATCCACGTTTGTCCTGTTCCTTGAAAAAATATTCTTAAAAAAATCCACGCATCGGTTGGTCCTCGGAAAAATGTTCTTTAAAAAATTCACGTTTGTCCTGGTTCTCAAAAAACATTGTATAAAGAAATCCACGCTTCTGTTGGTCCTCGAAAAAATCTTCTTTAGAAAATTCACATTTTTTGTGTCATAAAAAATATTCTTTAAAAAATCCACCTTTTTTTTTTGATCATTGGAAAATTAGTATTTAAAAAATCCACCTTTTTTTGATCATTGGAAAATTAGTATTTAAAAAATCCACCTTTTTTTGATCATTGGAAAATTATTATTTAAAAACTCCACGTTTGTTTTGGTCCTTGAAAAAATATTCTTTAAAAAATCCACGTTTGTCCTGGTCCTTGAAAAAAATTCTTTAAAAAATCCACATTTGTATTGGTCCCCTATGAAATAATCTTATAAAAATCCAAGTTTGTCCTGGTACTTAAAAACATATTTGAAAAATTTGAAAAAATATTCTTTAAAAATTAAAAAAATATCTAGAAAAATCCACCTTTTTCCTGTTCTTGAAGAAATTTATTTATTTTTTTTTTTTTTTTGAAAAAATATTTTAAATAATTCATTTTTTTTTTAATTTACGATTGTCCTGATATGCGATTTTTTTTTTTTGAATTCCACGTTTCTGGTATTTCAGAAAAATATTCTTAAAGAGATCACGTTTGTCCTGTTCCTTAAAAAAAATATTCTTAAAATATCCACGTTTGTCCTGGTTTTTGAAAAAATAATTCTTTAAAAAATCCACGTGGTGGTTGAAAAAATATTCTTTAAAAAAATGTCCTGGTCCTTGACAATTTTTTAATTATCGTTTGTTCGGATCCTTGAAAAAATAATTCTTTAAAAATTCCACGTTTGTCCTGAAAAAAAATATTCTTTAAAAAATCCACATTTGTTCTGGTCCTAAAAAAATATTCTTTAAAAAAAATGTACGTTTGTCCTGCTGTTTCAAAAAATATTATTTACAAAATCTACATTTCTGGCGGCCTTCAAGGGATATGCTTTGAAAAATCCTCGACTGTTCTGGTCCCCTTTAAAAAATACACAATTGTCTTGGGCCTTGAAAAAAAAAAATTCTAAAATTATTCATAAAAAAATTGAAGCTGTTTCGGACTTTGAAAGAAATTCTTTCAAAGATGTACATTTTGTAAGTTCTTAAAAAAAATATTCTAAAAAAAATCTCCATTTTTCCGTCCTTCAAAAAATTATTTTAAAGAATTCTTTAAAAGTTTATTTAATAAAGAAACTATACATTTTGTTTTCCTTAATCCTTAAATCACATTTTGTTAATCCTTAAAGAAATATTCTGAAAAAAAATCCACGTTTGTGATGGTCCTTAAAAAAAATCCTTAAAAAATCCAGACTTTTTTAATGAGTTATAGATTTTTAAAAATAATATTTTTCAAAAGCTCTCTGCCCAAGAATCCTATTTTTTTTTTTTTTAATTAATTAATCAAGCAAATCCCTTGCATATATAAATCATGTTTTTTTTTTAAATATTTTTGAAAGGTCTCTTAGAAAAAAAAAATCGAGGAATTTTAAGGAATGTATTTTTTAATAAATTGTTTCCAGATCAAAATCGCAATTTTTAATTTTTTCCTGTCCCAAGTTATTCACAGGGGACCTCGATGTAAAAATATTGGATTTTTATTTATTTTTTTTTTAATTTCAACAACAAAAATTAATTCTTTAAACATGATTTATTTCTAGAGGCCGACAAGCCTGAATTTTTTTAAATAAATTTCCAGAAACCGAAAAAAAATATTTTTTTGAGGAAAATTTTTTTAAGGACTAACTTTCACTAGAATCCCTTCTTTTTTAAGAACCCATCAAAAACATGGATTTTTTTCAAAGTCCAAGAAAAGGTGGTAATAAGTCCTTTCCCAAGTCCTTCTATTTAAATAAATGGTATGTCTAAGTCTAAGCAAACAAATTGATATTTTTAAATTATTTTCCAATTCTTCCTCATTCTAAAGGAAAGAAATGAAAAAAAGAAATGAAAATTTTTAAAAAGAAAATATTTTTCATTTCATATTTTCATAGAAGAAAAATCCAGCCCCAGAGGCCTAAGATTTTGGAATGAAATGAAAACATTATTTTAAGAAACAACAGAAAATTTTAAATATTTTTTTGAGGATTCATATCCTTAGAATTCAATCTCCTGCGGCTGCATTCTTATATGTTTGTCGTGTAGTTTTAAATATCAAGCCCTTCAATCTCTCATCCCTTTATTTAAAAAAAAAAACACAAGTGAGCTTAAGCATTTTTAAATTTTTTTATTGAACAAATATTATAACAATTTTAAATGGCATTGTCCTCCAAGTAGCTAGAGTTAAGGCAATTTACTTGCCACCACCTCCGCCGCCTCCGCCACCACCACCGCCAGGCAATGGTTTTGGTTCAGGATGAGGATTTGGATTGGGATTGGCTAGAAAAAAAAAATTAAATTTCAAATTAAAATCTTCAATTGAAACCAATTTCAGAACCAATTTCTTCTCAACTCACCCATGACCAAGGACAACAAGGCCAAAACAACTGCAAATATGCCGTAGAAATTCATTTTGTTAAATGATGCTCACTATCAGCGAGGGTCAGAGTATTTATATGAAATTGAAATTAATATTGAAATGACAACGATACTGCAACTGCAAGTTTTCGGAGCGAATAAGAAAATAATAGTTAACCTAGCTCACGTGTCAGGGGGTATTGGATTTCCCCATTTTATTTTGTGAAAAACATGAGTGGCAGCAAGTTTTTATGTCGCAGTACATTAAAAATGGAAATAATTCCATAATTGGTAAGAATCGTGTCATGTTATGATTTAATTGAAAATAGAAACGTGATAATAGGTTCAATGCATTTTTCTGAAAAAAAAAAAATAACTGAAGACGGTCTTCTAATGAAGATCTTCAAAAAGAGATCTTCAAAAAAAAAAAAACATTTTTGTTTGAAAATCCACGTCCTGATGGTCCTTAAAAATATTCTTTGAGAAATCCACGTCCTGATTATCCTTAAAAATATTTTTCCTTAAAAAAATCTTTTACAAATCCAGGTCCTTAAAAATATTCTTTGAGAAATCCAAGTCCTGATCCTTAAAAATATTTTTCCCTTAAAAAAATATTTAACAAATCCAGGTCCTTAAAAATATTCTTTGAGAGATCCACGTCCTGATGATCCTTAAAAATATTTTTCCTTAAAAAAATTCTTTAAGAAATCCAGGTCCTTAAAAATATTCTTTGAGAAATCCAAGTCCTGAAAGAAATCCTCAAAATATTTTTCCTTAAAATTTTTTTTTTTAAGAAATCCAGTTCCTTAAAAGATTCTTTAAGAAATCCACGTCCTGATGATCCTAAAAAAATATTCTTTAAGAAATCCACGTCCTGATGATCCTAAAAAAATATTCTTTAAGAAATCCACGTCCTGATGGTCCTTAAAAAAATATTATTTAAGAAATCCATGTCCTGATGGTCCTTAAAAATATTCTTTAAGAAATCCACGTCCTGGTGGTCCTTAAAAAAATATTCTTTAAGAAATCCACGTCCTAATAGTCCTTAAAAAATATTCTTTTAGTCCTCAAAAATATTCTTTGAGAAATCCACGTCCTGATGATCCTTAAAAATATTTTTCCTTAAAAGATTCTTTAAGAAATCCAGGTCCTTAAAAATATTCTTTGACAAATCCACGTCCTGATGATCCTTAAAAAAAAATTCCTTAAAAAATTATTTAAGAAATCCAGTTCCTTAAAAATATTCTTTGAGAAATCCAAGTTCTGATCCTTAAAAATATTTTTCCCTTAAAAAAATGTTTAACAAATCCAGGTCCTTAAAAATATTCTTTGAGAAATCCACGTCCTAATGATCCTTAAAAATATTTTTCCTTAAAAAAATCTTTTAAAAATCCAGGTAATTAAAAATATTCTTTGAGAAATCCAAGTCCTGATGATCCTTAAAAATATTTTTCCTTAAAAAAATCTTTAAGAAATCCAGGTCCTTAAAAATATTCTTTAAGAAATTCAGGTCCTGATGATCCTTAAAAATATTCTTTAAGAAATCCAGTTACTGATGGTCCTTAAAAATATTCTTTAAGAAATCCAACTCCCAATGGTCCTTCCTTAAGAAATCCAACCCCCTAAATAATTCTTTAAGAAATCCATGTCCTGATGGTCCTTAAAAATATTCTTTAAGAAATCCACTTCCTGATGATCCTTAAAAATATTTTTTAGGAAATCTACGTCCTGATGGCCCTTAAAAATATTCTATAAGGAGCCCATGTCCCTATAGCCATGAAAAAGATTATTTAAGAAATCCATGTCCTGATGGCCCTTAAAAAGAAATCCAAGCCCTGAAAAATATTCTTTAAGAAGCCCACGTCCACGATGGTCCTTAAAAATACTCTATAAAAAGCCCAATCTCAGGACGATGTTCCTAAAAATATTCGTTAAAAAATCCACTTTTTTTTAAATATTCCGAAAAAATGTTTTGTCCTCGGAAAATTATGCCTAAGTTTTTATTGATCCTTGGAAAACTGTTGTTAAAAAATCCATGTCAATTGGTCCTGGAAAAACTTATTAAAAAAACAAAGTTTGTTGGTCCTGGGAAATATTTTTGGACCTTTGAAAAAAATAAAAAATCACGTTTTTTGGTCCTTGTAAAAAATATTTAAAAAAAATCACGTTTTTAGTATTTAGAAAATAAAATAAAAAAAAATAATAAATTATATTTTTCAAGGAGCAAATAACTTGGAAAATTTTCCAGGAGCCAATAAAATGGGAAAGTTCTCAAAATATACAAGTTTTTTGGTCCTTGAAAAAAATATTTTTTAAAAAATCCACGTTATTTGGTCCTTGGAAAAAATATTTTTTAAAAAATCCACGTTTTTTGGTCCTTGGAAAAAATATTTTTTAAAAAATCCACGTTTTTTGATCCTTGGAAGAAATATTTTTTAAAAAATCCACGTTATTTGGTCCTTGGAAAAAATATTTTTTAAAAAATCCACGTAATTTGGTCCTTGGAAAAAATATTTTTTAAAAAATCCACGTAATTTGGTCATTGGAAAAAATTATTTTTTTAAAAATCTACGTTATTTGGTCCTTGGAAAAAATATTTTTTAAAAAATCAACGTTTTTTGGTCCTTGGAAAAAATATTTTTAAAAAATCAGCTTTTTTGGTCCTTGGAAAAATATTTTTAGAAAATGCACGATTTTTGGTCCTTGGAAAAATATTAAAAAAACCAAAGTTTTTTGGTCCATGGAAAGAAATAATTTTAAAAAGTCTCAGTTTTTTGGTCCTTAGAAAAAACAAACAAAAAAAATGACACGTTCTTTGGTCCTTAGAAAAAAATATTTTTAAAAAATCAAATTTTCGGCTCTTGAAAAAAAATATTGTTTAAGAATTCATGTTTTTGGTTCACGGAAATAAGTATTTTTTAAAACCCCATTTTTCGGTATTTGTAAAAATATTGGAAAAAATATGTTTGAAAAATCCACATCTTGCGGTCCTTGGAAAAAATTATTATTTAAAAAATCCACGTTTTCTTGTCCTTTGAAAAATTTTTTTTAAAGAATCTAAATTTGTTTTTCTTTGGAAAAATATGTAAAAAAAGAACCACACTTTTTGGTCCTTGGAAAAAATATTAAAAAAAAACACTTTTTTTTGATCCTTGGAAAAAGTATTTTTAAAAAAGTCCACTTTTTCTGATCTTTGGATAAAATATTTTTAAAATATACATGATTTTTGGTCTTTGGAAAATATATTTTCAAGAGATCTAAGTTTTTTAGTTAAAAAAAAAAAAATATTTGTAAAATTTCAACTTTTTTTGGTCTTTGGAAAAATATTTAAAAAAAAACAGAAAAACATTTTTTTAATTCTTCGAAAAATATTTTTTTTAAAAATTCATGTTATTAGGTCCATGGAAAAAATATTTAAAAAAATTAAAGTTGTTTGGTCCGTGAAAAAGTATTTTTAAAAACGTCGACGATTGTTGGTTCTTAAAAATCCACCTTTTCGGTTCCTGGGGAAAATATTTTTGAAGAATCCACGACTTTTGATCCTTGGAGATGATATTCTAAAAAATTTAGGGTTTTTGGTCCTTTATTATTTCCAAGGACAAAAACTTGGATATTTTTCCAAGGACCAAAGAAACTTAAATTTTTTTCAAATATTTTATTGAAGGACTGGGAAACGTGGATTTCTTGAAAGGTATTTTCTTTGGGAAAGGTATTTTTAAAAAATCCACGTTGTTTGGTCCTTGAAAAAAATCCAAGTTTCTTGGGCCTTGGAAAAAAACATTTTAAAAAAGTTTACGTTTTTGGTCCTAAGAAACAAGTGAGGACCAAAAAAATGAAAAAATATTTTCAAAAATCCATAGTTTTTGGTGCTTGGAAAAAAAATATTTAAAAAAAATAATGTTTTTCGATCCATGGAAAAAAGTTCCTTTAAAATCACGCACTGAGGGCATTAGAAAAAAATATTAAAAAAAAAACGTTTTTTGGTTTTTGAAAAAAAGTATTTTGTAAAGTATATTTTTTGGGACCTTAGAAAAAAATAATAAAAAAACTACAAGTATTTTGGTCCTTGAAAAAATATTCATTAAAAAATAAACACTTCTTTTGGTCCTTGAAAAAAAAAATTAAATGATCCACGTTTCTGGTGATCCTTGAAAAAATATTCTTTTGAAAACCAAATTGCTGCCGGTTCTGAAAAATATATTAATAAAAAAATCTGTTGGTTGCTGAAAAAAGTCCTTTAAATTATCCACGTTTCTGTAGGTCCTAGAAGAAATATTATTTAAGTGATTCACTTTTATGACGGCGCCTGAAAAATAGTCTTTATAAAAATCCACACATATTGTTGTCCTTTGTAAAAAAATTATTCATTTGGTCCTTGAAAAAAATTATTTAAAAAAATCCTCCTTTTATTGATCCTTAAAAAATTATCCTTAGAAGAATTCGAAAATTTTTTTTGGCCGTGGAAAAATATTTCTTTAAAGTTTCACATGTTTTCTCGATGAAGAAGCTCATACGTAAAACGTCCAGCAATTGCCCTCTGGGTAAATCCCCCATCATGAAATGCTTACAATCAATAACGCCCGCTGTCCAGTTCATGCCACATAAATTCTAGAATTGTAATTAAACACATGTTTGTTTTAGCAGCAACGGCAGCAGCTTGTTCGCTTACCATTGCAACAAAAAACTTTCCCTCCCCAGGTTATCAGTGAAATACCTTCGAGTTGTGGAGAAAAAAAAAACAACTGCAAACAAAACAACTATTATTTGCGCAGTAGTATAAAAGACCCTTTTGAATGACGGCTGGAAAGCGGTTTGACAGTTCCAATTGAGCTCTGATAATAATGAGAACATTGTTTGTGATCGCTTTGCTGTTTCTCAGCAGTTGTTTGTATTTGTGTGATGCCCAGTATGGGGGTGGAGGTGGCAGCCGTGTGGGAGGTGGAGGCGGTGGTGGACGCCTAGGAGGTGGCGGCGGAGGTCCCATTGGCGGAGGTGGTGGCGGTCCTTATGGTGGAGGTGGTGGCGGTCCCTATGGCGGAGGTGGTGGCGGTCCTTATGGCGGAGGTGGTGGCGGACCCTATGGTGGTGGCGGCGGCGGACGTTTTGGTGGAGGAGGTGGCGGTGGAGGTTATGGCCGTTAATAATATGTAATTTTTTTGTGAAACAATAAAGTTGAGAAAGATTAAAACATTTGAAATTTATTTAAAAAAAAATCGCTTCCAACAGGAATGTGAGGTTAGAGGACTATCAGTAAAAAAGAACAAACGTGAACATTCTTCAAGGATATTTCTTGAAATTAACAACAAACGCTTATATTTAAAAAAAATGTATCTAACAACAGACGTGTATTAAATATTTTTTCCAAGTTTTAATAGATGTGGATTGAAAAAAAATATTTTTCAAGTTAAGGTGCTTTAAAAAAAAATATTTTTTTCCAAAGTCTTGAATATATAAAAAAATAATTTTTTTAAATTACAACAGAAGTGATTTTTTTTAAATATTTGTTTAAATTAAATTCTTTCCCATATCCAATGGACGTGGAATTTAAAAAAAAATCCAGGTTGTCAAGCGACGAAGATTAAAAAGAAAGATTTAAAAGACTTCGACTTAAAAAAAAATATTTTTCCAACTTACAAAAACGTGGATATTTTAAACAAATATTTTTTTCCATGAAATGAATGAAGTCTCAATAAAATATCCAATAATCCATGTTCAAGAGACGTGGATTTATAAAAAAAATATTTTTCCATGTTTTAATAGGAGTGTTTTTTTAAATATTTTTTCGACGTAGATTCTCCAAAAAAAAAAATATTTTTTAAGATATCAATAGATATGGATTTTTTAAAAAATATTTTTTAAGTTATCAACAGACGTGAATTTTTTTAAAAAATAATTTTTATAAAGTTCCATTAGACGTGGAATTAAAAAATAATTTTTATAAAGTTATCAAGCGACGAGGATTTTTTAAAAAATATTTTTTCAAAGTAACAACAGACGTGGATTTTTTAAAAAATATTTTTTCAAAGTAACAACAGATGTGGATTTTTTAAAAAATATTTTTTCAAAGTAACAACAGACGTGGATTTTTTAAAAACTATTTTTTCAAAGTAACAACAGACGTGGATTTTTTAAAATATATTTTTTAAAAGTAACAACAGACGAGGATTTTTTAAAAAATATTTTTTCATAGTAACAACAGACGTGGATTTTTTAAAAAATATTTTTTCAAAGTAACAACAGACGTGGATTTTTTAAAAAATATTTTTTCAAAGTAACAACAGACGTGGATTTTTTAAAAAATATTTTTTCGAAGAAACAACAGACGTGGATTTTTTAAAAAATATTTTTTCAAAGTAACAACAGACGTGGATTTTTTAAAAAAATATTTTTTCGAAGAAACAACAGACGTGGATTTTTTAAAAAATATTTTTTCGAAGTAACAACAGACGTGGATTTTTTAAAAAATATTTTTTCAAAGTAACAACAGACGTGGATTTTTTAAAAAATATTTTTTCAAAGTAACAACAGACGTGGATTTTTTAAAAAATATTTTTTCAAAGTAACAACAGACGTGGATTTTTTAAAAAATATTTTTTCAAAGTAACAACAGACCTGTTATCAACATACGTGGATTTCTTAAAATATATTTTTTTAAGTTTCGGTAGACGTGGATTAACAAAAAATAATTTACCAGGTTACAATGGACGTGGATTTTTTCTAAAAATATTATTCAAAAATTCCAATAGACGTGGATTTTTTTTAAATATTATTCTAAAATTCCAATAGACGTGGTTTTTTTAATATTATTCTAAAATTTAAAAAAAAAATAATTTTATTCTAATTATTATTCTAAAATTCCAATAGACGTGGATTTAAAAAAAAAAACATTTTTTTAAGTTTCATTAGACGTGAATTTTTTTAAAAAAATATTTTTTAAAGTTGTCAATAGACGTGGATTTTTAAAAAGTATGTTTTTAAGTTATCAACTGACGTGGATTTTTTAAAAAAATTTTTTTAAAGTTATCAACAGACGTGGATTTTTTAAAAAATATTTTTTTATTTAATTTTTTAAAAAATATTTTTAAAGTAACAACAGTTGTGGATTTTTTAAAAAATATTTTTTAAATTATCAACAGACGTGGATTTTTTAAAACTATTTTTTCAAAGCTACAATAGACCTCTTATCAACAGATGTGGATTTCTTTAAATATATTTTTTAAGTTCCAGTAGACGTGGATTACCAAAATATAATTTTCCATGTTACGATGGACGTGGATTTTTTTTAAAAACATTATTCTAAAATTGCAATAGACGTGGATTAAAAAAATTTTTTAGTTTCAATAAACGTGAATTTTTTTTAAAAATATATATTTTTTAAAGTTGTCAATAGACGTGGATTTTTTTCTTTTAAAGTTATCAACTATGTGGATTTTTTAAAAAATATTTTTCCCAAGATATCAATAGAAGTGGATTTTTAAAAAAATATTTTTTAAGTTATCAGCAGATGTAGACTTTTTTAAAAAAAAATCAAGCTGCAATATACGTGGATTTTTAAAAAAGTAGAAGTGGATTAAAGAAATGGCACATTTTAAACATTGTATTTGAAACATTTTTAAAAGAAAGTCGATATTTTGTTAAAAAATATTTTTTTACAAGTTTCAAAAGCCGTGCATTTATTTCAAAAAAAAAATTTTTTTTTCCAAATAAAAAAAGTTATTTTTATATAGTTATATTTTTTTTCAAGTTCCAATAGACTTGGATTTTTTTTTTAATATTTTTCCCAAGTTAAATTATACGTGGATTTTTTGAAAATATTTTTGCCAAGTTGAAGTATACGTGGATTTTTATAGATTTTTTTAAAGTTACAATAGATGTGGATTTTTTAAAAAAATATATATTTTAAAGTTACAATAGATGTGAATTTTTTACAAAATATTTTTTATAGTTGTCAACATACGTGGATTTTTTAAATATATTTTTTAAAGTACCAATAGAAGCGGCTTATTCAAAAAAAAAATAGAGTTCCAATAGACGTGGGTTTTTTAAAAATATATTTTTTTCAAATTTTAATAAAAGTGTATAAAAAAATTGTTTTGAAGTTCCATTAGAAGTGGGTTTCTTAAAAAATATATTTTTTCAAATATCAATGGGAGTGGATTTTTCAAAAAAAAATTGTTTTGGAGTTCCATTAGACGTGGGTTTCTTAAAAAAAATTATTTTTTCAAATTTCAATAGAAGTAGATTTAAAAAAAAATATATTTTTTTGGAGTTCCATTAAACGAGGGTTTCTTAAAAAATATATTTTTGCAAATTTTAATAGAAGTGGACTTTAGAAAAAATATCTTTTTCGATTTCCAATAGACGAGGGTTTTTTAAAAAAATATATATTTTCCAAATTTTAATTGCAGTGGATTTTTAAAAAATATTTTTTCAAAGTTACAATTGACGTGATTTTTTTAGAAAACATCAAATTATTTTTTTGTCATGAATATTCTTTTGAAAGAATCGCTAACAGATCAATAATCACCTTTCAATTTAAACTCAATTGCCGAAACAAGAACACAAAATAAATATCTTAAAAATATTCAAAATATTTAAAAAATAATTTGTTAACAAAACGTGACGTTTGTGTCTTAAATCTTTTGTTTTATTTCTTTAGCGGAGAAATTCGGATAGGATTTAAAAAAAATGCTAATGTGATGTATGCTTTTCTGGCAATATATATTTATCAACAAATATTACTTATTTATTGAGAGAACAATAAATTCATTTGTTTTCAAAGATTTTCAAAGCAAGGAAAAAAATCGGAATTTTATGAAAACAAAGAGACTCCCGAACTTAATTATAGATAGAGAATCACACCACAAATTTTCAGTTTTATTTAAAAAAAATATATATTAAATTACATGATAAAATTATTATTTAATTACAATTGTCACTTCTTCATAGGAAATGGTTTTTAGCTTATTAACTATTCCGTAAATATTAGTGCCACACATCCATAGAAAAAAATTAAACCAAATTGTTTTTTTTTTTTTTTTGTCAAATTTCCCTTCAACCCAAACGACCCGAAGATCCGCGAGCTCCAATAAGCCCTGGACCACGACTGGCACCCAAACGGCCACCATATCCCTGCAAACCTCCGGCACCTCCGCCGGAATTAAGTAGACGTCCTAGACCTCCGTTCTGTCCATTGGCCAACCAGGTTAGGCAGCTTAGAATCAGGAGCCAACAAATGCCATAGAATTTCATGATGCCGATATTTATGTTGTTGTTCTTGTTGCCTCAGAGTGCTGTTGGAAAATCTTACAGTTTTTCCATGAAAAGGGATAATTTATATTGTATCTCAGCAGGAGATTTCAACTAAATTTGCATTGATTTATTATTATATTAATTTTGTTTTAACCTCTAATTAACTTCTAGGCCAATCGGCAGTTTTGTTTTTGAACATGCAAATATTTTGTTGGGTCTATTAATAATTCATAATTTCAATTGTTATAATATTTCATTGAAAAAAAATATTTCAAATTAATAAATAATTTTCAAAGTAGCAATAGATGTGGCTTTTTAAAAAAAATATTTTTTCAAAGTAGCAATAGACGTGGATTTTTTAAAAAATATTTTTTTCAAATGCGATATAGACGTGAATTTCTTAAAAAAATATTTTTTCAAAGTAGCAATAGACGTGGATTTTTAAAAAAATATTTTTTCAAAGTAGCAATAGATGTGGATTTTTTAAAAAATATTTTTTTCAAATGCGACATAGACGTGAATTTCTTAAAAAAATATTTTTTCAAAGTAGCAAGAGACGTGGATTTTTAAAAAAATATTTTTTCAAAGTAGCAATAGATGTGGATTTTTTAAAAAATATTTTTTCAATGTAGCAATAGACGGGGATTTTTTTAGAAATATTTTTTCAAAGAAGCAATATTCGTGGATTTTTTAAAAAATATTTTTTCAAAGTAGCAATTGACGTGGATTTTTTAAAAAATGTTTTTTTCAAAGTAGCAATAGACGTGGATTTTTGAAAAAATGTTTTTTTTTAAATAGCAATAAACGTGGATGATTTTGAAAAATATTTTTTCGAAGTAACAACAGACGTGGATTTTTTAAAAAATATTTATTTCAAAGTAGCAATAGACGTGGATTTTTTAAAAAATATTTTTTCAAAGTAGCAATAGACGTGGATTTTTTAAAAAATATTTATTTCAAAGTAGCAATAGACGTGGATTTTTTAAAAAATATGTTTTTAACGTATCAAAAAACGTACCTTTTTAAAAAAATATTTTTTGAAAGTATCAAAAGACGTGGCTTTTTAAAAAATATTTTTTCAAAGTAGCAATTGACGTGGATTTTTTAAAAACTATTTTTCCAAGCACAATAGACGTGGATTTTTAAAAAAAAAATATTTTTTCAAAGTAGCAATAGAGGTGGATTTTTTAAAAATATTATTTCGAAGTTGCAATAGACTCGGATTTTTTTAAAAATATTTTTTTAAAAATATTTTTTAAAAAATATTTTTTCAAAGTAGCAATTGACGTGGATTTTTTAAAAACTTTTTTTTTTAAAGCAGCAATAGACGTGGATTAAAAAAAAAAGATTTTTTCAAAGTAGCAATAGACGAGGTTTTTTTTTTAAATATTTTTTTTCAAAATAGCAATTGACATGGATTTCTTAAAAAAATATTTTTTCAAAGTAGCAATAGACGTGGATGTTTTAAAAAATATTTTTTCAAAGTAACAATAGACGTGGATGTTTTAAAAAATATTTTTTCAAAGTAACAATAGACGTGGATTTTTTAAAAAATATTTTTTCAAAGTAGCAATAGACGTGGATTTTTAAAAAAATATTTTTTCAAAGTAGCAATAGACGTGGATTTTTAAAAAAATATTTTTTTCAAGTTATAGTAGACGTGGATTTTTTAAAATATATTTTTTCACGGATGGATTTTTTAAAAAATATTTTTTCAAGGACCAGGACAAACGTGGATTTTTTAAGAAAATATTCTTTCAAATTAGCAATAGACGTGGATTTTTTAAAAAATATTTTTTCAAGGACCAGGATAAACGTGGATTTTTTTAAAAAATATTTTTTCAAGGACCAGGACAAAAGTGGATTTTTTAAAAAATATTTTTTCAAGGACCAGGACAAACGTGGACTATTTAAAAAATATATTTTCAAGGACCAGGACAAACGTGGATTTTTAAAAAATATTTTTTCAAGGACCAGGACAAACGTGGACTATTTAAAAATATTTTTTCAAGGACCAGGACAAACGTGGATTTTTTAAAAAAATTTTTTTCAAGGACCAGGACAAACGTGGATTTTTTAAAAAATATTTTTTCAAGGACCAGGACAAACGTGGACTATTTAAAAAATATTTTTTCAAGGACCAGGACAAACGTGGATTTTTTAAAAATTTTTTTTTCAAGGACCAGGACAAACGTGGATTTTTTAAAAAATATTTTTTCGAGGACCAGGACAAACGTGGATTTTTAAAAAATTATTTTTTTAAGGACCAGAACAAACGTGGATTTTTTAAAAAATATGTTTTCAAGGACCAGGACAATCGTGGATTTTTTAAAAAATATTTTTTCAAGGACCACGACAAACCTGGATTTTTTAAAAAATATTTTTTCGAGGACCAGAACAAACGTGGATTTTTTAAAAAATATTTTTTTAAGGACCACGACAAACCTGGATTTTTTAAAAAATATTTTTTCAAGGACCACGACAAACCTGGATTTTTTAAAAAATATTTTTTCAAGGACCACGACAAACCTGGATTTTTTAAAAAATATTTTTTCAAGGACCAGGACAAACGTGGATTTTTTAAAAAATATTTTTTCAAGGACCAGGACAAACGTGGGTTTTTAAAAAATATTTTTGCAAGGACCAGGACGAGCGTGGATTTTTTAAAAAATATTTTTTCAAGGACCAGGACAAACGTGGGTTTTTAAAAAATATTTTTTCAAGGACCAGGACGAGCGTGGATTTTTTAAAAAAATATTTTTTCAAGGACCAGGACAAACGTGGACTATTTAAAAAATATTTTTTCAAGGACCAGGACAAACGTGGACTATTTAAAAAATATTTTTTTAAGGACCAGGACAAACGTGGATTTTTTAAAAAATATTTTTTTCAAGTTGCAAATTGTCAACAGACGTGGATTTGATAATAAAAAATTATATATTTTTTTTCAATCAAACATTTAGTGTATTTCAATAACTAAAACAGCATTTTTAATAACTCGAAACATTAACACATTTTAAAATTTAATAATCAAATCATATAATCAATTCAGTCAACCAGAATAATCAAAGGTTGGATCAACCCTGATATGGACCACCACCGCCTCCGCCTATGGGACCACCACCACCACCTCCACCTCCAATGGGACCGCCGCCGCCACCACCACCACCTCCTCCATAGGGTCCTCCACCACCGCCATTAACCTGGGCACTGGACAGCAGGGCCAGACAGCTTAGAATCAAAACGCAAAAAATATAAAATTTCATATTTGCTCTCTCTTTTTCACTCTCTCCCCAGTCTATCGTTGCGAACAAACTGATGAATGCTGAATATCAATTTGAAATGTTTGAGGTCTTTATATAGTTAATTGAAATGGAAATGAAATATAAAACCCACATTGTTCTGTCAGCTGGTAATCACAATTGTTTGCTATTTCTTGGAAATACTAGAAGCTAATTTGAAATGCATAAATTGACTGCAGTTACAGTGAAAATTAAAAAAAAAAAAACAAATACTAGGAGAGGTTTGGAAGAGCCTAATGAAAACAAAAGAAAACAGTAATAAGAAGACCATAAAGAAGGAATCGTCTCTCCCTGCAAAAAAAATAAAAATCGTTATAGGTAAACTATACACCAAATCGGTTGAAACTAGACAATTGAGGTTCTCAGTAGGTCAGACCTCTTCTTGTAAAAAAATATTCGTTACAGGTTCACTAATTACTATGATCCCCACATAATGCTAACTCCCGATTTTCGGAATTTTGAAGCATACTGTCGCCAAATTAGATGAAACTTGGCAATTGGGGTTCTCAGTAGGTCAGATCTCTTCTTGCAAAAAATATTTGCTACAGGTCCACTAATTGGTATATCCCCAATATAAGGGTACCTCTCCATTTACGGTATTTTAAAGATTTCTGCCACAATTTCCAACCAAATAACCAGAAACTTGACAACTGAGGTTCTCGGTAGGTCAGTTTTCTCACTGCGAAAAATACTCTCTACAGGTCCACAAATTGGTGTAGCCCCCATATGACGGTACATCCCGATTTTCGATATTTTGAAGGTTTCTGCCACAATTTTCCACCAAATTAGCTGAAACAAGACAATTGGGGTTCTCAGTAGGTCAGATCTCTTCTTGCAAAAAATATTCGTCACAGGCCCACTAATTACTGTGATCCCCATATAATGCTAACTCCCGATTTTCGGAATTTTGAAGGATACTGTCACCAAATTAGCTGAAACTTGACAATTGGAGTTCTCAGTAGGTCAGTTCTCTTCCTGCAAAAAATATTTGCCACAGGTCCATTAATTGGTATAGCCCCCATGTAAGGGTACCTCGCGATTTTCGGTGTTTTGAAGCATTCTGCCACAATTTCCAACCAAATTAGCCGGAACTTGACAACTGAGGTTCTCGGTAGGTCTGTTGTCTCTCTGCGAAAAATACTCTCTGCGGGTCCACTAATTGTTGTAGCCCCCATATAACGGTACCTCCCGATTTTCGGGATTTTGAAGGTTTTTGCCGCAATTTCCAACCAAATTAGCTGAACCTTGATAATTGGGGGTTTCAGCAGGCCAGTCCTATTCTCGTAAAAAATATTCGCTACAGGTCTACAAATTGATATAGTCCCCATATAAAGGTACCTCTCGATTTTCGGTTTTTTTTTGCACCGCACCCTTTTCCCCTTTTCATGGCAATAACGAAATTTTCGAATTCAAATATATATTTTCAATAAAAAATCTACCTCCCACTCAAATTTCTCCAAGTTTAAAGTTAAATAGACAGTATTGCGTATGAGTGTTGACGAATTGTATACGCCACATGGTCCTAATGAGTGAAATAACAAAGTCAAGGATTTTTTGTCGATTTAATATAGAACTCTAATTTATTTTTTATTTTTTTTTTTTATTGAGAGTAGCTTTTTACTCTTTTTTTCGTTTTTGATTTTCTAAATATTTTTCAACCCGGCTGCATTGAATTTCTCCAAAATACACATGGTTGCCTTGTGGGAACGTTCACAGCGATCGGCCTCGCCAGTAATGGCCTCATTGCAGCTGGCAATAATTCCTTTGAGATGTTGAATTTCAATGGCATTATTGAAAAGATAGGTGAAAAAGGGTATGACAGCTGTCTCATCCAGGGAATTGTCATCGGAGAACTAGAAAGACAAATTTTTATAATTTTTTTTTTTTTTTTTTTTATAAAAATTTTGAGTTTTGGTTTGTCAAGTGAAAGATCATAGGTTTAAGATTATTTATTTATTTATTATTTTTATTTATTTGTTTTATTTATTTTTTTTTTTTTTTTGAATAATAGAAAATCACTCTCACCAGCTCATGTTTCTTCATAATACAATAACGTATACACTTGGCATTACGCACCGCATCTCGCGAGCCTTTCACAATGTCCTGGAAGCCATCTAAGGGAAAATATGAGAAAAATATATATTTCGATAATTTTATTGAAAGAAAAAAAAATGAACAGAAAACACGATTCATATTGACGTTAGCAAAAGGAGGAATTGGAATTATTTTTCATATTATCCTGGTTTTATATTTTCCGCATTTTTTGCTCGAGCATATTTCCCCTTTTGCGTAATGATAATCCCTTTACCTACCATCGGTTATTTCGATTTTCTTAGTCTTGGCATCGTCCTCATAGCAATCTTCCACAGACATTTTTGCCATTTCAAGCAGGGCATTTGAGGAGTCAGTTTGCTAAAAAAGAAAAAAATATTGCAAAGAAATTTTAAACCTAACATCATGGACTATAAGAAAAATGTAATATAAAAAATCCACGGTTTCTAATGGATTTTGAAAAAAAAATGTTTTAAATTTTTTTTTTGGGTCTAGAGGATTTTTTTGACTTCTTTTCGACTTCTTAACCTCAGAAAAATAATAATAATAAAAATTTGTCTCTAAAATTATTTTCTAAAAAAATTAGGTCTGCTTCTTAATCTCCAAAAATATTTTCAATAAAAAAAGTAGTGGTCTAGAAAAAATATTTAACAAAAAAATCAAAATTTCCTATGAGGCTTTAAGAATATAATTTTACAAAATTTAAACTTTCACAAGGCCTTAAAAATTAAAAAAAAATACGGCGACTTCTTAAGCTCAAAAAAAGAATAAAAAAATAAAAATGCACTTTGGCATTTAAATATATAATTTAAAAAATTTAAACTAATTTCAAAGCCTTCAAAATAAATAAAAAAATAAATAAAATTCAAAAAAAAAAAAAAATAATAATAATAAAAATAAAAATAAATTTATAAAAGTAAATTATCCACGTCAGTTTTTAGCCTCAAAAATATTTTCTAAATAAAAAATTAGTGGACTAAAAAATATTTTTTAAAAAAGCAGAATAATTCCATGGGGACTCAAAAATATAAATTTACAAAATTTAAACTTTCTACAAGGCCTTAAAAATTTAAAAAAAGAATCACGGCAAGTTCCTAAACTCAAAAAAAAAAAATAAAATTCCCCGTCAATCTTTAGCTTTAAAAAATATTTTCTACAAAAAATATGTCTGCTTTTTAGCCTCAAAAATATTTTCTAAAAAAATAGGGGACTAAAAAATATTTTTTTTAAATGCTGAATTTTCCATGAGCTCTCAAAAATATAAATTTACAAAATTTAAACTTTCTAAAAGGCCTTAAAAAATTAAAAAATTACGGCGACTTCCTAAGCTCAAAAATAAATAAAATAAAAAATCCACTTTGGGATCTAAAAATATAATTTATAAAATTTAAACTTATTACAAAGCCTTAAAAATAAATTTGGAAGAAATCAAATTAGCTTCTTAAGTTAAAAAAAAATTAATAAATAAGAAATAAATAAATAATAAATTATCCACGCCAGCCCTTAATAAATTTTTGTATAATTAATATAATAATTAATATAATAATTTAAATAATTTTAAAAATTACAAAATAATTCCATGTGGCCTCAAAAATATATTTTTATAAAATTTAAGCTTTCTACAAGTCCTTAAAAAATTAAAAAAAAACGTCAGATTTTTAACCTAAAAAAATTCCCCGTCAATCTTTAGCTTTAAAAAATATTTTCTACAAAAAATATGTCTGCTTTTTAGCCTCAAAAAAATTTTCCAAAAAAATATGGGACTAAAAAATATTTTTTTTAAATGCTGAATTTTCCATTGGCTCTCAAAAATATAAATTTACAAAATTTAAACTTTCTAAAAGGCCTTAAAAAAATTAAAACAATTAACTCGGATTCTTAACCTCAAAAAAAAAAAAAAAAAAACAAAAAAAAAATAAAATAAAAAATCCCCATCAATCCTTGGCCTTAAAAAATATTTTCTACAAAAAAATGGGTCTGCTTTTCAGCCTGAAAAATATTTTCTAAAAAATTAGGGGTGTAGAAAAAAATATTTTTATAAAATCTAAGTTTCCAAAGGGGCCTTAAAAATATAATTTTAGAAAATTTTAACTTTCTACAAGGCCTCAAAAACGTAAAAATAGATACGTAGGCTTCTTAACTCAGAAAAAAAATAAAAAAACGCGTTAGCTCATAGCCTCAAAAAATTAAAAAAATAATGGGGACCTATAAAAAAAATTTTTTTTAAAGACCCTCAAATAATTAAAAAACTCGACAGTTAAGAAGCCAAAAAAAGAAAACATAAATAAATAAATAAAAATCCATTCAAAAACTATTTTCTAAAAAATTTATTTCTTCAAAAATATTTTGTAAAAAAATAGAAGCCTAGAAAACAATTTTAAAAAATTAAAATTTCTAAAGGGATCTTAAATATATTATTTTACAAAATTTAAACTCTCTACAAAGCCTTAAAAAATCACGTCGGCTTATTTACCTCAAAAACCTAAAAATCAAAGAAAATACATTTAAAAAAAATCAAAATTCCTTATGGGCCTTAAAAATAGATTTTCTACAAAACCTTAAACTAAAAAAATCTCAAGGCTTTTTAAGTTCAAAAAATAGTTTCAAAAAATGTTTTTTCAAAAATTAGGTCTGCTTCTTAGCCACTAAAATATTTTCTACAAAATCTACGTCTCTTATAATAAAAACAAATCAATCCAAGTTTTTATCTATCCACAAAAAATATTTAAAAAATCCACGTTTATTTCTGGTGCTTGAAAAAATATTTTTAAAAAACCCATCCAAAATTTATTGCTGCTACTCGAAATATTTAAAAAAAAACCACGTTCATTGATGGTGCTTGAAAGAAAAATACAGAAAACATAGAATTTTATAAAAAAATTTAAAGTCCAAAAGCATATGTGGATTTTTAAAAATTTAAGCTCCGGAAATAGACAGAATTTTTATAAAAATGTCTTAGAGGCAAAAAGCAAACTAGGATAATCTAAAATATATTTTTTTAGTGTCGAAGCAGACGTGGAATTTTTAAAAATACTTTGAAGCGCGATTATTGACATGGAACTTTTAAAGATATTTTTTCAAGCATCATCAATAAACGAAATTTTAAAAATATTTTTTCATGTACCAGCTATAAACGTATATTTTTTATAATATTTTTTCAAGCACCAGCAATACGTGTCAATTTTTTAAAAATATTTTTTCAAGCACCAGCTTTAAACCTAGATTTTTTAAAATATTTTTCCAAACACCAGCAGTTAACGTGGATTTTATTTAAAATATTTTCTCCAGCTCCAGCAATTACCGTGATTTTTTTTTTTTTAATTATTTTTTCGGCTCCAGCAATAAACGCGATTTTTTTAAATATTTTTTCAAGCACCAGCAATACATATCAATTTTTAAAAAAAAAAAAATTTAAGCCCCAGCTATTAACGTGATTTTTGTTTTAATTTATTTTCACATACTTGCAGGGTCTCCTTAATGCATAGCATTATAACAATAAATATAAATTTGTCCATATTTTCAATAAAATTTTCAGCGAGTATAACTGCTACCCAAGCTTCTCAGACGACTGAAAACTAATAGTAAAATTTCCAAAGCATCTAACATCTTGTTAATGTAGAATTTTATTGTAACTTAGAAAATTTTCCCATGCTTCGATTTAAATTGCAAATTCAAAATTGTTTTGGGAAGTTCATGGGAAAACTGGGTGAAAAAATACATCCGTTGTCATTCAATTCTCTGATAATTGAAATATTTTCCCTTAAAGTGTCCGAATGAATTGTGTTTCCGTTGGAAAACATCAGTTCATTCATGAATGCATTATTACTTTTCTACCCTCGTATACAACACAACCGAAAACAAAAGACTTAGGACACAAGCACCAATTTAAGATAAATGAGTTTCAAAGATAAGATTCAAAGTCAGTTTTTTTCTGTGTGACGCAACTATATTTGAACAGTCTACAATTCTTCCGAAAGGTCAAAATATTGTTTATCTTAATATAAATCAATATTTTATTTTGAAGATATTAACATAAGGTCCAATAAATTGTAGTTTATACCGACATCTATAGGAATATAGATAAAGTGTTTTTTGCATTGGTTTCGTAATGCCTAAAAGTATGCAATGAATTGGAACGTCTTTCAAAAATAATAGAACTAAATGTTTTAACAACTGTTGCCAACACCCATCATAGTTGAACGGAGATAATATGAATGTTAGTCTCAAAAATATTTTTTTTAATCTACATTTGTTTCATAGCCTTTAAAAATATTTTTTTATAAAAATTCACATCTATTTCATGGCATCTAAAAATATTTTTATAAAAGTCCACGTCTTTTTCATAGCCTCTAGAAATATTTTTTATAAAAATCCACGTCTTTTTCATAGCCTCTAGAAATATTTTTTATATAAATCCACGTCTTTTTCATAGCCTCTAGAAATATTTTTTATAAAAAACCATGTTTGTTTTATAGTCTCTAAAAATATTTTTTATAAAAATCCACGTCTATTTCATGGCCCCTTAAAATATTTTTTATAAAGATCCACATCTATTTCAAAGCTTCTAAAAATATTTAAACAAAACTCACGTCTATCTTACAATCTCAAAAATATTTTAAACAAAATTTACGTCTATTTCATTGCCTCTAAAAATATTTTTATAAAAATCCGCGTCTTTTCGTTGCCTCTAAAAATATTTTTATAAAAATCCACGTCTATTTCATTGTCTCTAAAAATATTTTTATAAAAGTCCACGTCTATTTCATAGCCTCTAAAAATATTTTTATAAAAATCCATGTTTGTTTTATAGTCTCTAAAAATATTTTTTATAAAAATCCACGTCTATTTCATGGCCTCTTAAAATATTTTTTATAAAGATCCACATCTATTTCAAAGCTTCTAAAAATATTTAAACAAAACTCACGTCTATCTTACAATCTCAAAAATATTTTAAACAAAATTTACGTCTATTTCATTGCCTCTAAAAATATTTTTATAAAAATCCACGTCTATTTCATAGCCTCTAAAAATATTTTTATTAAAATCCACGTCTATTTCATTGCCTGTAAAAATATTTTTAAAAAAATCCACGTCTATTTCATGGCATCTAAAAATAATTTAGTAAAAATCCACATCTATTTCATATCCTCCAAAAATATTTTTATAAAAATCCACCTCTATTTTATAGCCTCTAAAAATATTTTTCGAAAAATCCACGTCAATTTAATAGCCCCTATAAATATTTTTTATTAAAATCCACATCTATTTCATAGTCTCTAAAAAGGTTTTTATAAAATTCACATATATTTCATAGCCTCTAAAAATATTTTTATAAATATCCACGCCTATTTCATAACCTCTACAAATATTGTTTTTTAAGTCCACATTCGTTTTAAAGCTCCTAAAAATATTTGTATAAAAATCCAAGTCTATTTCATAGCCTCTAAAAAATATTTGTATAAATATCCACATTTGTATCTAAAAATATATTTATAAAAATCCACGTCAAATTCATAGCCTCTTAAAATATTTTTATAAGAATCACGTTTATTGCTGCTGCTTGAAAAAATATTTTTATAAAAATTCACGTCCATTTCATAGCTTAAAAAATATTTTTTTATAAAAATCCACATATATTTCATAGCTTTCAAAAATATATTTATGAAAATCCACGTATATTTCATAGCCTCTATTTTTTTTTAATCCATGTCTATTTTATACTCCTAAATATTTTTACAAAAATCCAGGTGTCTTTTATAGCCTCTAAAATATTTTTATAAAAATCCACATCTATTTCATAGTCCCTAAAAATATTTTTTATTAAAATCCACGTATATTTCACAGCCTCTAAAAATATTTTTGTAAATATTCTATTTTATGGCCTCTAAAAATATTTTTATAAAATCCATATTTTTAAAAAATTCAGGTTTACTGCTCGGCCCTGAAAAAAATATTTTAAAAAATCCACGTTTGTTGTTCGGCCTTAAAAAAATGTTTTTAAAAATTTTCGGCCCTGAAAAAAAAATATTTTAAAAAATCCACGTTTGTTGTTCGGCCTTAAAAAAATGTTTTTAAAAATTTTCGGCCCTGAAAAAAAAATATTTTAAAAAAATCCACGTTTATTCCAAATGCTTGAAAAAATATTTTTAAAAAATCAATATTTTTAAAAAATCCACGTTCATTCCAAATGCTTGAAAAAATATCCTTAAGAAATCAATATTTTTAAAAATCCACGTTTATTCCAAATGCTTGAAAAAATATCTTTATTGTTCGGCCTTGAAAAACTATTTTTAAAAAATCCACGTTTCTTGTTCGGCCTTGAAAAAATAATTTTAAAAAATCCACGTTTATTCCAAATGCTTGAAAAAATATTTTTAAAAAACCAGGTTTACTGCTCGGCCCTGAAAAAAATATTTAAAAAAAATCCACGTTTCTTGAAAAAAATATTTTAAAAGAATCCACGTTTCTTGTTGGTGTTTGAAAAAATATTTTTAAAAAATTCAGGTTTACTGCTCGGCCCTGAAAACAATATTTTAAAAAAATCAACGTTTCTTGAAAAAAATATTTTTAAAAAATCCTCGTTTATTGTTCGGCCTTTAAAAAAATTATTTTAAAAAATCCACGTTTATTGTTCGGCCTTTAAATAATATTTTTAAAAAATCCACGTTTATTGTTCGGCCTGTTGCAGTTATTTGAAAAAATATTTAAAAAAAATCAACGTTTCTTGAAAAAATATTTTAAAAAAATCAACGTTTCTTGAAAAAATATTTTAAAAAAATCAACGTTTCTTGAAAAAAATATTTTTATAAAATCCACATTTGTTGCTCTTACTTAAAAAAATATTATAAAAAAATCAACGTTTCTTGAAAAAATTATTTTAAAAAAATCAACGTTTCTTGAAAAAATATTTAAAAAAAATCAACGTTTCTTGAAAAAAATATTTTTATAAAATCCACGTTTGTTGCTCTTACTTAAAAAAATATTTTTAAAAAATCCACGTTTATTGTTGTTACTTAAAAAAATATTTTTAAAAAATCGACGTTTATTGTTGTTACTTAAAAAAATATTTTAAAAAATCCACGTTTATTGCTCGACCTTTAAAAAATATTTAAAAAAAAATCCATGTTTATTGGTCGGACTTGAAAAAATAATTTTAAAAAATCCACGTTTATTGCTCGACCTTTAAAAAATATTTAAAAAAAATCCACGTTTATTGCTCGGACTTGAAAAAATAATTTTAAAAAATCCACGTTTATTGCTCGGACTTGAAAAAATAATTTTAAAAAATCCATGTTTATTGCTGTTATTTAAAAAAATATTTTTAAAAAATCCACCTTTATTGCTGTTATTTGAAAAAATATTTTTAAAAAATCCACGTTTATTGCTCGGACTTGAAAACATAATTTTAAAAAATCCATGTTTATTGCTGTTATTTAAAAAATCCACCTTTATTGCTGTTATTTGAAAAAATATTTTTAAAAAATCCACATTTATGGCTGGTGTTTGAAAAAATATTTTTAAAAAATCCACGTTGATTGCTGTTACTTAAAAAATATTTTTAAAAAATCCACGTTTTTTGCTGTAACTTGAAAAAATATTTTTACAAAATCCACGTTTATTGTTTGGCCTTAAAAAATATTTTTAAAAAATTAAATTAAATTATTGTTCGGTCTTAAAAAATTTTTTTAAAAAAATCCACGTTTATTGTTCGGTCTTAAAAAATTGTTTAAAAAATCCACGTTTATTGTTCGGCCTTGAAATAATATTTTTAAAAAATCCACGTTTATTGTTCGGCCTTGAAAAAATATTTTTAAAAAATCCACGTTTATTCTGAATGCTTGAAAAAATATATTTTTTAAAAATGGTGGTGTTTAAAAAATATTTAAAAAAATAATAATAATAGCTTATGTACTTTGAAAAAATATTTTTAAAATTTCCACGCCTTCTTTTGGTCCTTGAAAAATATTTTCAAAAAGTCCACGTTTCTTACTAGATCTTGAAAAAATATTTTTTTTTGTTATTGATACTTTTAGGGATCTCGGAGCTACAATCGGAATAACAATATTATTTATTATATTATCATGGAAGGTATAATAATATTATATCTCAAATCAAATCTCCCAACGAATGGACATTCCTTTAAAATTCATTTTGCCACAGCCCATATTTCTCCATTATTTTAAGGCGTATTAAAGTGACATCATTATTATTACTTTTTTTAAATTATAGCCAACTAATGGATGTATGGCATATTATAGTTGGCAGTCATTTAAAGGCATCAAAAAAATAAAAAAAAGTGAAAATCATGCTTTGCTAATTAGCCAAGAATTTGCAAGTGTAATATTCAAGAAGCTTTGGCAAACAACGATTTATAACAACAACAAAAAAATTATTATTATTCAGTTTTGTAGTTAGCCTATAATTTAGATGCCTTGAGAGTGGAAGCGGCTTAATTCAATAAAAGAAAAATTTAAAAAATAATTATTTTATATTGTTTACAAAGGAAGCAGAATCAAACACCAAAGTCAGCACTTAATTTGTAGAGTGATCACAATTTGAATGCCTTGAGGAGAAAAGTGGCCTAACTCAACAAGTTTGTTTTTTAAAATTTATTTTGTTTTTAATTAGATTGGAAATCAATTATTTTCAAAGACATCCAAAAATAAATCATTGGATTCGTGGCATCGAATTAAATATTTTATTTTTTTACTTATTTATTTTTTCATTTCTTTATTATTATTATTATTATTATTATTATTATTATTATTATTATTATTATTATTATTATTATTATTATTATTATTATTATTATTATTATTATTATTATTATTATTATTATTATTATTATTATTATTATTATTATTATTATTATTATTATCCTTTTTTATTTATTTATTTATTTAATTTTTTTTTTTTTTTTTTGGAAAAATGAGTTAACTTCTTTTTGCTTGCATCCGCATTAATATCTCAACTGGACACTGCATTGAGCCAAGCTTTTTACATTGATATTTGCAGCAGTGGGTGTTAGTACGGCAAGAAGTGTGAATAGATCAACATGGCATCAAGTTTGAAATTTTTATTCGGATCGGGTGTAATATTGGGCTTGGTTTTCATGAGTTTGGGTAAATTGTGAATTATTTGTAAATAGAAAAATATACAAATTTTTTAAAAAAAAATATTAAATATAAAATAAAAATAGTGTGAGATTGAAAAAAAAATCAAAAAGAATCCATCAAAATAATGAAAAAAAAAATTAAAAAATAATAAAAAATTGCAGAATAAGAATAGAAAAAATATAAATATATATAAAAAAGATCAAGAAAAAAATAATAAATAAATAAAAATAATAAATATATACATAAATAAAGAAATAAACGGAGCCCTTAATAATTAAATAAACTAATAAAAAAACAATATAAAATAAACAATTAAATAATAAAATAAAAAATAAAATAAATAAAAAATAAAAATGAATAATAAATATATTATTAAATAAATAAATACTAATTGTGGGATCTTCGTAGAACATATTTTATTATACCATTAAGTCTTTGCTCATAGCCCACTTAAAATATGAGGAATCTTTCAAAAAGAAAAAATAAATAAAAATAAAATTTAATTCTATCCCTCTGTTAACGAGAATCGAATCCAATTTCCCTCTTCGATTTTCAACTCTATACTCTATTCGGATCCTGCTCGGAGGATCAATGTAGAAAATGAGAAAAGAAAACTAACCGAATGGTTTGGCTTTTGATTCAATTCTTTGTATTTAGCTCGAAGTACCAAATATAAGTGAAAATAGAATCCAATCTCCCTCTTCGAATGTCAATTCTATTGTGGACGCTGCTCGGAGGATCAATGTTTTTAATAAATGAGAATAGTGTCCAATCTCCCTCTTCGATAGTCAACTCTATTCCATTTTCGGCTCGACTTGAGCAATGTAAAGTGAAAAAAAAAACACGCCCGCTTCGTTAGGGTGCTATTTCTGGCATGAAAGATCAATATAACTGGGAATACAGTCCAATCTCCCTCTTCGATTGTCAACTCTATTCTCTATTCGGTGATAAGAAAGTAAAGAACAACCTTATTCAATTCTCGATGCGGCTCGAAGGACCAATGTTAGTGATATAAGAATCCAATCTCCCTCATCGATTGTCAACTCTATTCTATATTCGGATCCTGCTCGGAGGATGAATATAGAAAATGAATAAGGAAAGAACAACCTTACTCTTTGGATGTAGTTTCAATTCTTGATACGGCTCGAAGGACCAATGTAAAATAAGAATAAAATCCAATCTCCCTCTTCGATTGTCAACTCCATTCTCTATTCGGTGATGAGAAAGGAATACAACCGCTCCGCTTGTTGTAGATTCAATTCTAGTTTTTATGTTTCTTAAGTGCTACAAAAACTAATCTAACTTAACCTAATCGCAGCCACACAATTATTCTTATCAATTCTATTATTGAATGGAGAACATTGCAGGGCTGCTTGACATTTCATTCAAGTGGTCTAGTACATTTACTGAGCGCATCGATATCTGTGCTTGTGGGTCATAACCTTTATTATCTCACACATTATTGTGTGCTAGATTTTCAACCGCACTCAAAAGTATGTACAAAGTATTTTGAACACCCTCTTTATCGACTAAGTTGTAGGCATGAAATATCCATAGTGGGTACTTTAAAATGCTGTCAATTCAAAATTCATATGGGTATCGGTCTGCGTATGAATATTGTCAACAATCATACGCATGTGGTTTTCAAGGCTAATTCACATTTTTTTAAAAAAAGTGTTTTTAATTTTTAAATTCTAAAAGGAGTTTTCAATTGAAATATAGCATTATTTTACATAATGGGAAAGAAAATGGTCCGTACTTTGCAAAGATAAGATAATTCAGTAGTATTCATAAACATTTTCTGAAGTTATGAACTCTACAAAGTCGTTACCAAAAAATACCAAGAAATTGGTTCATTTTTCGTATTTGCTTTCATTTAGACGAATGCCTGGATTTTTAAGTCTAACATTAACTATTTGAACTTCAGCATAATGAGAAGGCCTCTTTTGCCTTTCCAGATTATATAATTAGAATTTTCTATTGTTATCAGGGAGCGTATAAGTGTTGTTAATAATCATACGCTTGTTGTCTTAAAAACCAATTCATATATTTTTATTTCAAAAGGAGCTTTTAATCGAAATATAGCAATGCGATACATTTTTGAAAAGTGAATAGCCCATACTCTTCAAAAATAAAACAATTCATTAATTTACATAAATATTTTTTAATGTTGTGGCCCCTAGAAGGCCGTTACTTAAAAAAAGCAAAAATTATGCACATTTCGGTACTTGTTTTTATCCAGGCATTTCTGACATTTTACGAGCTACATTAACGCAATTAACAACAGTATCACGAGGAGACCTTCGTCTTTAGAGATCAGGTAATTAGAAACTCATATGGGTATAGTCCTGCGTATGAGTGTTGTCAATGATTATACGCATGTGGTCTTCAAGACTAATTCATATTATTTAAGAAATGTTTTTTTTAATTTCTTAATTCGAAGAGAAGTTTCAATCGAAATAGAACATTATTTTCTATAATTTGAAAAGAAAATAGTCCGTATTTTGCAAAATAAGAAAATTCTGTAGTATTCATGGACATTTTCTGAAGGTATGGCCTCTACAAAGTCGTTACCTAAAAATACCAAAAAATTGGATACATTTCGGTACTTGCTTTCATTTGGATCAATGGCTGGATTTTTAAGTGTAACATTAACTATTTGAACTTCAGAATTTTTAGAAGGCCTCCTTCGGTTTTCATGACTAGTCAATTAGAGATTCATGTGGTTATAAGGGTACGTATGAGTGTTGTCACCAATCATACGCATGATGTTTTATAAACCGAATTCATATTATTTCAAAATCTTTTTTGTATTTCAAAAGAAGTTTTTAAACGAAATATTGCAATTTTTTTACATTTTTGAAAAGGAACTAATCCTAACTTTCGAAAAATATAATATTTCCTGAATTTATATGAAAATTTTTTAAAGTTATGGCCCCCTGAATGTCGTTACATAAAAAGGACCGAAATTATGCCCATTTCTGAACATATTTTAATTTAGGTATATCTCCGGCATTTTAAGAGTTACATTAACGAAAAATCGTAGGGACTTTGAGAAGGCCTCCACCGCCTTTTGAGATCAGTCAGGTCAAAATTCATATGGTTATCAAGGTGCGTATGAGTGCTGTCAGTAATCATACTCACGTTGTCTGATATGACCTGTAATTTAAAATATGTATTTTTTTTTAATTTGTGTCATTTAATGCGATTCGATTTGCAGTTGTAAATAGAATTTTTATCCAGAGTCTAAAATATTTTACAACATAGATAAAAGGAAGTTCCTACCTGCATAACCAAGGAAATTTTGTTCAGATATGTTGAGTAGCGAGGAGGCCATAGGCCCTGAAAAGCGATTACACAAAAAGGGGTATTATTTGGCAAATTTCGTCACTTATTTTCATTGGGCCATATCTCCGCAACTAGAACAGCTATCAACAGGATTTTTAACAGAAGACTTTGAAGAAGCTTCTTGTAATAATCCTTGGAAATATTATAGTAAATTTTAACCAGGGTTCGGAAATATGACCGTTTTAGTAAGCCTTTTATTTCAAATATTTGATATTGTAAATTCGACACTTCATAGCACATAATTACCTATTCTTGATGAAGTTTTTTTTGGTGAAATGTAGAAATATTGTTCGCCATAAGAAAGAAAGGATTTATGCCTTTCAAATAATGCTATTTTGTAAAGAAAACCCGACTTACGAGAAAGTTATATCCTCCATAGTAAATTACGCAAAAAGGTAGAACATTTCTTGTATTTCGTCACATGTCTTCATATGGCTATATCTCTGAAATTATAAAAGCTACATCAATCATATTTACCACGTTAATAGATTAGTTTATCATAATCCAAAATCTGAAATTTGGCAGCGAGACTTGTTCAGTGTCCGGAGATATAGAACCATGAGTAAACCTGCTAATTGAAATCTGTGATACTACAAAGTTCGCTCACTCAATAGATGCTCTTGGAGATTTTTGAGAATATTTTTTTGATGAAGTGTAGAAGTATGGTTAGTTATGGATTGAGGAAGGTCCGACCTGTCAAACCAATATAATTTATTCGAATACTCCGACGAACGTGGAAGTTATGGCTCCCATGATACAATTACGCAAAAAAATCGAAAATGTCTTATATTTCGTCACATGTTTTTATATAGCGATATCGCTGGAATTATAAAAGCTACATCAATAATATTTACCACGGTAAGAGATTAGATGATCTTCATCCAAAGTCTGGAATTTTGTAGCGTGACTTCTTCAGGTTCCGGAGATATAGGACAATGAGTGAACCTGCTAATTGAAATTGGTGATACTACCAAGTACGCTCACTCAATAGGTACCCTTGTCGATTTTTGAGAATATTTTTTTGGTGAAGTGTAGAAGTATTGTTCGTTATGGATTGAGGAAGGTCCGAGCTGTCAAACCAATATATTTTATTCGAATACTTCGACCAACGAGGATGTTATGGCTACCATAATACAATTACGCAAAAAGACCGAAAATATCTTATATTTCGTCGCATGTCTTCATATGACCATATCTCTGGAATTATAAAAGCTGCATCAATAATATTTACCACGTTAAGAGATTAGATGATCTTCATCCAAAGTCTGGAATTTAGTGGCATGACTTGTTCAGGGTCCGGAGATATAGGACCATGAGTGAACCTACTAAATGAAATTGGTAATACTACAAAGTATGCTCACTTAATAGATGCTCCTTTCGATTTTTTGGGAATGTATTCTTGATGAAATGTAGAATTATTGTTCGTCATGAATTAGGGAAGCTCCGAGCTGTCAAATCAATATATTTTATTCAAATACTCCGACCAACGAGGAAGTTATGTCTCCCACACAAAAACTACGCAAAAAGGTAGAAAATTTCTTATATTTCGTCGCATGTCTTCATATGGCCATATCTCTGGAATTATAAGAGCTACATCAATAATATTTACCACGGTAATAGATTAGATGATCTTTATCCAAAGTCTGGAGTTTAGCGGCATGACTTTTTCAAGGTCCGGAGATATAGGACCATGAGTGGACCTGCTAAATGAAATCGGTCATACTACAAAGTACGCTCACTCTATAGATACTCTTGTCGATTTTTGAGACTATTTTTTTGGTGAAGTGTAGATTTATTGTTCGTTACGGATTGAGGAAGGTCCGAGCTGTCAAACCAATATATTTTATTCGAATACTCCGACCAAAGAGAAAGTTATGCTCTCTACAAGGCAATAACCCAAAAATGCAAAATATTTTCCATATCTCGTCATTTGTCTTGAATTAATTAAATGTCTAGAATTATAAAATGATATAACCATATAATCATAAGCGAAAAATGTTGGCGGTATTGGGTTATTTTCCGGAGATAAAATTCCTGCAGAGATTCTATCTTTTTATTTTGTATCTCTAATTTTTCTTGATTTTTTAATAATTTTTTTGTGTTCTCTTTAATCTCATTCTAGCCCAAAGCCAAGGTGGCTGGGGTGGCAATAGCGGCCAGCCAGGACAACCCGGTCAGCCTGGAGAATGGGGCAATAGTGGCTCGACCAATTATGGTGGTTCCAGCGGCCAGGGTAGTTATGGCAGCTATGATCATAACGATCAACATAGATATCACGCCATATCTTCCTCGACATGTTGGGCGCCCAGTGCCACTTTGCTAACCTTTGGCTTATTGTCAATTGCAGCCGTTTTGGCAACTAACAACCTAAAGCAGAAACTTTTTTAATGTGGTGATTACTTGCTTTTTGTATCAATGAATAAATAATTAAATAAAAAAATAATTTTGATTCGCAAAAAAAAAAACACTAATTATTTTATTTACATTTTGAGGTGTGGCGTGGTTGTTATTTATTTTTGTTGCCTGATGAAGGGCACATGCAATGGTGTTGTAATTAATTGTTAAATATAATTGCTGGTGCAGATAAAAAAATTAAGTTGGAAAAAATTCATTAGAATAAAATGTCGAATTGTCTATCTCTCAATCGTAAATTTCCTGTTGCTATCACGCAGTGTCTAAAAAATATACCCAGTTATTAGAGGAAGCAAATTAAGAAATGGCGGAACTATGAGCAACGAACACAAAACCTAAAGGTTGTTATGGATGCCAATGTCGACCTTAAAAAAAGGTTGCTGTTATTGAAAGTCCAGGTTCAAAGGGACCTAAAAATTGAAGGATGATGTGAATGAATATAAACACCGTTACCGAAAAAATCAAGTTTATGAACTCAGGTCCGAATTGATAGCCTCTTCGGAGAACACACATGCAAAAAGAGTTTAAACAAATTCCAACGTAAAGTCTTTGGAGAAGGAAGTAAAACTGCCATTGGAGAATAGGACAGAAGTCAAGGTTGAACTATGGGGTGAGATGAAAAAAATGCAACCAAATTCAGACCGCTATCACTTCCAAGCCACTCATCCGACAGCTGTTAAAATTATTCCAGTGACAGCTCATTATATGGTTTAGAAGCCTACAAAAGCGTTTTGCTGGGAATTTTCCAGAAAACAAGTTATTCGTCACGGAATTCAAGCGGGATGCTGGGATTTCTTTATGTTTGGCTGGAAGACCACAAGTGGCTATCGTTAGAGCACTCCAGCATTTAAATGTGAATAAATCGTTTGTGTCTCGTACCATACTGGTAGCGTAGCCCTACGATGTCAAGGAAGTGGACGGAAGAAGCAGAAATGGTTCGAAAAGTAAAGAAGCGACTTGATCGAAACCCGCGTCGCAGTGGCCGAAAAATGGCTCGTGAGCTGAACATATCGCAATATTCCATTCGGCAAATATTGAAATATGAGCTCGGGGTAAAGCCATGGAAATTCCAAAAAGTGCAAGAACTTACACCGCAACAGAAAGAGAAAGAAAATAAACTCAAAAGAGCTAAAGAGTTGCTAAAGAGTTGTTGGTGAACTGCCGAATTTGTTTTTCTCCGATCTCCGGTGAGAAAACATTCATTGTCCAGCAGTTCGATCGTGTTTACTTGCCAAAGAGGAGGTCAGGTGAAAATGTGCACCTTCGGTTGACCACCAGAACTCAAGCGCCGGCCATGGTGATGGTGTGGACCGTCATAACAGCCGATGGTCGCTCTCCGCTCGTATTAATCGACCGTGGCATTAGAATAAATGCCTAATATTATTGCGAAAATATTCTGGAGGGTGTATTAAAGTGTTGGGCACGCAAACATTTTGGCTGCAGACTTTGAACATTCCAACAGGACTCAGCACGCGCCACCTAAGAATGGTTACAAAATGAGGTTCCTCGCTTCATTTCCAGCGCACATTGGCCACCACAAAATCTTTGGATACCAATCCGTTGCACTATTGTGTCTGGAGTATTTTGGAAAGCAAGGTTGGCACTAAAAAATACCAAAGTGTCGATCACCTCAAGCAAGCGCTTCGCCGGGAATGGGCTAAAATACCGCAGAGCAATATTCGGGTAGCATACCACGGTTTCGTTGGCCTTTGAAATACCAAATGGTCGATCACCTCAAGCAAGCGCTTGGCCGGGAATGGGCCAAAATACCACAGAGCAACATTCGGGCAGCGTGTGACGCTTTCATTGGCCGTTTCAATGCCATAATTCGTGTCAAAGGTGATCAATTCGAACAAATCTAAACTTATTCTAAAATTTGATGCTATTTTCGACGCTGTAATAAAAACATGCTAAGGAATTTTTTCTTATCAGGACGATAAAGATGTGGAGTGGAGGTGGTGCAGCTAGAAAAATGGCTGTTCAAGGATACTTAAAATTGAAGGATGATGTGAATGAATATAAATGTTGTTTTTTGGAGAAGGCCTCAGCTTCTCAGCGAGCTGAGTGCTAACGCAATAAGTTGGCAGCAAAAATTTAAGTAAATTTGAAAGAGTTTAGTAGAAGACTCCATTACTGAAGTTAAAGTACATTGGGAGGGAGAAAAATAATCAAGATCCGAAGTTGTGAAAGGACAGCTCTCAAGCACTGAAGAATCGAAGTGGAAAAGAAAGTAAGATGTCCTATCGACGTGGAACAGATATCTAGGATGAACAATGCGCCAGCGAGATGAAGACGAAAAATAATGGTCATCTGCGTTGCTGGAATAAAAAAAAAATACTGAAGGATGCTCATGTTGTCCAGAAGATGAAAATGCTTAGTGGAGTTGGTGCAGGTAGAAAAATGCCGGTTCACCGCGACTTAAAATTGAAGGATGATGTGAATGAATATAAATGCGGTTTCCTAAAAAATCAAGTGCATGAAGTCAAGTTCGAATTTATGGCTGCTAAGGAGAGAGCACATGCAGTAGGAGTTCAAACAAATCTCAACCTAAAGTCCTTGGGGGAGAAAGTAAAACTGCTTTCGGAGAGGTTGGCTTCTTTGAACAAGGTCCGTCAAGTAGCTGGGATAGTCAAAAAAAAAAAAAAAAAAAATTATGAAAGAGTTGGAGTGGAAGACCCCATTAACGAAGTAGAATTACTTGGGGAAGAAAAATAATCCTGTCATGAAAACTTGAAAGGTTAGCTCTCAAGCACTGAAGAATCGAAGTGGAAAAGAAAGCAAGATGTCCTATCCACGTGGAAACGGAACTCGACAGAAGTCAAGGATGAACTATACGCCAGCGAGATGAAGCCGAAAAACGATGGTCATCTCCGAATGCTGGAATAAAACGATGCTGAAGGAAGCTTATGTTGTCAGGAAGATAAAGATACTTAGTGGAGGTGGTAATGCTAGAAAAAATTGAAGGATGATGTGAATGAATATAAATGCCGTTATCTTTGTAGATCATTAACTCAATGCCGAATTGATGGTTGCTGAGATGGGAGAGAGCACGTACAGTAAGAGTTCAAACAAATCTCAACGTAAAAGCTACGGAGGAGGAATTTAATTAAAATAGCTTTTGGAAAAGGCCTCAGCTTCTCAACGAGCTGAGTGCTAACGCAATAAGTTATCAGCAAACATTTAAGCAACTACCAAAGAGTTGCAGTAGAAGACTCCATTACTGAAGTTGAAGTACTTTGGGGGGGAAGAAAAAGAAGTAGGTCTTAGGGAATATTTTTATGAAAAAATATTTAGTGTCTTACGGCCACTCAATTTGCTAGGCAACTCTCTTATATGTATGTTTAGATATGCACCGAAAATTTTCCTCGAGTGTAAAAAAATTAATTACTTTTGGTTGCAAATCTAAGAAAAATCTCGTCTGGCTAGAATTCACAAAGCAGTGTGATTCATACAAAGTACCTGTAGAAAATTCTCACATTAATTAATACTCAACACAGCTACAGATTATTGCCATCAGCAGCATCTGTTGCGGAATACGAAACAAAACGGCAGCTACTAAAAAAATCTGATATACAACGTGACGTGAAAGCAATCTTCCGAACTTGTCTAGAAAAATTAACAACTGTTTGTTTTTATTTGAAGACTCATATTGAATTAAATTACAATTTTCTATCAATAGCTTTGTAATTTTTTCCAAAGATTTGAATTGAGTTTCGAGACGAGATTTGTAATTTAGATTTTATAACAATTTTTCTATGAATAAAAAAAAAAAATATTGTAGAGAATAAATAGTAATTATTTAAATTATTCACTAAAATTCTACCCAGGAAAAAACGGAAAGACCAGTAAAATAATTAAAACAATTTTTAAAAAATTTTATTGTATTTTATAATGGAATTATTAGGTGATTCATTCCCATAAACAACGGAAAATATATGTCCCAATTAACCGAATATATTTATTTTAGAAAAAAAAAAAACAACTTCATTTAAATATAAAAAATATTGGAATTTAATCATCCATAATGCCATGCTCCTGGGCATATTTATTCATGCAAGTAATATACTGGCCAGCAGCTTCACAGCTGAAAAGAAAATTTTAAATATTTTAATTCATATAATTTCGTTCTTAAAAAATGGGAAAACTAATAAAAATTCCATTGAATATTTTTTAATAAAAAAAAAAATTAATTCAAATTTTTTTTGGAAATAAAATTTTCAGGTCTTTCTTTTTACACATATTTTTTATTTTATTTTGAAATAAATTTTTTCAAGATTACCTTTCAAGGTCTCGACACCAAGCTCTCGGCATATTCCAGTTTTATTGGAATATGTCATGTTTGAAGGAGGCCCTTCAACAAAAAAAAAAAAAAAACGCTTTTATAAGAGGTCCTTGAAAAATCCACTTTTTGGGGGTCTTTGAAAAAAAAAAAACACGTTTGTAGGTGCTCCTTCAATATATCCGGGTGTATAGGAGATACTTGATAATATTCACGTTAAATTTTTTTTTTTAAAAAATCCACGTTTTTGGTAGATTCTATAAAAATATCCCTGATAAAAAACAACACTTACAAGAGGTCGTTGGAAATATATTCCTTAAGGAAACTCCACGAGGTCGTTGAAAAAATATTTTTTAAAAAATCCACGTTTATAAGAGTTGCTTGAAAAAATATTTTTTAAAAAATCCACGTTTATAAGAGTTGCTTGAAAAAATATTTTTTAAAAAATCCACGTTTATAAGAGGTACTTGAAAAAATATTTTTAAAAAATCCACGTTTATAAGAGGTCCTTGGAAAAATATTTTTTTAAAAAAAATCCACATTTATAAGAAGTACTTGAAAAATATTTTTTAAAAAAATCCACGTTTATAAGAAGTACTTGAAAAAATATTTTTTAAAAAATCCACGTTTATAAGAGGTACTTGAAAAAATATTTCTTAGAGGTACTTGAAAAAATATTTCTTAAAAAAATCCACGTTTATAAGAGGTACTTGAAAAAATATTTCTTAAAAAATCCACGTTTATAAGAGGTACTTCAAGAAATATTTTTTAAAAAATCCACGTTTATAAGAGGTACTTGAAAAAATATTTTTTTAAAAAATCCACTTTTATAAAAGGTACTTGAAAAAATATTTTTTAAAAAATCCACGTTTATAAGAGGTACTTGAAAAAATATTTTTAAAAAATCCACTTTTATAATAGGTACTTGAAAAACTATTTTTTAAAACATCCACGTTTATAAGAGGTGCTTGAAAAAATATTTTTTTTTAAATCCACGTTTATAGGAGGTACTTGAAAAAATATTTTTTAAAAAATCCACGTTTATAAGAGGTACTTGAAAAATATTTTTTTAAAAAATCCACGTTTATAGGAGGTATTTGAAAAAATATTTTTTAAAAAATCCAATATTTTTGAAAAAAAGGAAATTAAAAAATATATAATCCCACTTACGGATCTTCATGAAAATCCAAAGACTCACACGACTCAACCAAGGTGGCTGCCAAATGAATTTTATCCTCATCATGAATGACGACCTCAGCCAATTTGATGGCCTTTTCTTTGGACAAGTCACCATCAACTAACTGCCAACATTCGATAAAGAAATATTTCAGTTATTTTCCTTTTAATATAAATAATTTCATAATTTTTCTCACCACACCCAAATGACGCATTAGACAGGCCCGCATACATTTGGCCTCCTTGCTGACCGGCGGAAGACGGGCCTTAAATGTTTCAATGTCCTCTAAAATTAAAGAAATTTAAAGAAAGTTGAAAAATTCTATTGAAATAAATGCAATATGCCTGAGTAAAAAGTAAGCGCCTGAAAGTATGCTTTACTCAATAAAACCATAGGTTTTCTCTTTGTCGAGAAGAAAAGAGGCAATAATTAGATGACTGACTTAAAATCAACGCCCAAACGAAACGGCTGAAGCTGGAGTCTTGAAATTTTGCACTAGGGCCAGTCCTGATGCGTAGGCTATTCCTGAGCTGTATTCCATATATTTACCTGAATATCGTTGTTACGGAGTGCATATTACGGCTGTGGGTAACAAATATAACAAATCGGATGAACAATATATATGTGGGAGCCATAGCTATATCTGAACCGATCTTCACCAAATTTGGCATACTTGCTTCTAGACCCAATTCGGTCGTATGTACCAAATTTCATCCTATTTGGGTAAATATTAGTGCGATTGGTGCACAATAAAATGTAAATCGGACGAAGTTATATATGGGAGATATATCCAAATCTGAAGCGATCTCGATAAAATTTAGCAAAGGTATTTCTGAGCTGCATTTGATATATTTCCCCAAATATTGTTGTCGCAGAGTGCATATTACGACTGCGGAGGACTTAAAAATTACAAATCGGATGAACAATATATATGGGAGCTATAGCTTTATCTGAACCGATTTCGATCAAATTTTGCATACTTATTTTCAGGCCTAATTTGGTTGTATGTGCAAAATTCCATAATATTCGGGTGGGCATTGTACCTAAACTCGTCAAAATGCCGAATATGGGAAAGTACTGATATATGGGGCCTATACGAAGACGTGGACCTGCACAGACAATTTTCTGTCATAGGCTGTAGTATCCATTACGAACTTCAAATACCAAATTTGAAATAATTCCGGTGAATAATGTCGCTAAAATCATCAAAATACCGAATATAGGGAGGTACTGATGTATGGGGGCTATACGAACACGTGGACCTGCACAGACAATTTTCTGTCATAGGCTGTAGTATCCATTACAAACTTCAAATACCTAATTTGAAAGAATTCCGGTGAATAATGTCGCTAAAATCATCAAAATACCGAATATCGGGAGGTACCATTATATGGGGGCTATACGAAGACGTGAACCGACATGGTCCATTTACGAACTTACGATCTGCCTGCTGGTAAACTATGCATTTATTGCAAAATATTTAAAAAATAAAATAATTAATTCTATGCAACTTACCATCAGTGGCCCCTTCTTCTTCCTTGCACTCCTCGACTATGGTCAGAACATTTTCCCTTGTAATATCTTCGGCCTAAAAATACAAAAAAATTAATTAAATTAAAAAAAAAAAAAAAATGCGGACCGAAAGGGCAATGGAAGAATATTAACAAGGCAAAAAAAATAAATAACAAAAAAATAGTTTTAAAAAACCCACGACCTTTATTTTTATGGAAAAATATTTTTTTTTAAAAAATTCATGTCTTTTACTTTTGTGGAAAAATATATTTTTTTAAAAATCCACGTCTTTTACTTTTGTGGAAAAATATTTTTTTAAAAAATCCACGTCTTTTACTTTTGTGGAAAAATATTTTTTTAAAAAATCCACGTCTTTTACTTTTGTGGAAAAATATTTTTTTAAAAAATCCACGTCTTTTACTTTTGTGGAAAAATATTTGTTAAGCAGTCCACATCTTTTATTTCTGTGGAGAAGTATTTTTTTATAAAATCCACGACTTTTGTTTTTGTAGAAAAATATTTTTTTAAAAAATCCACGTCTTTTACTTTTGTGGAAAAATATTTTTTTAAAAAATCCACGTCTTTAACTTTTGTGGAAAAATATTTTTTTAAAAAATCCACGTCTTTAACTTTTGTGGAAAAATATTTTTTTAAAAAATCCACGTCGTTTACTATTGTGGAAAAATATTTTTTTAAAAAATCCACGTCTTTTACTATTGTGGAAAAATATTTTTTTTAAAAAATCCACGTCTTTAACTTTTGTGGAAAAATATTTTTTTAAAAAATCCACGTCTTTTACTTTTGTGGAAAAATATTTTTTTAAAAAATCCACGTCTTTAACTTTTGTGGAAAAATATTTTTTTAAAAAATCCACGTTTTTTACTTTTGTGGAAAAATATTTTTTAAAAAATCCACGTCTTTTACTTTTGTGGAAAAATATTTTTTTAAAAAATCCACGTCTTTTACTTTTGTGGAAAAATATTTTTTTAAAAAATCCACGTCTTTTACTTTTGTGGAAAAATATTTTTTTAAAAAATCAACGTCTTTTACTTTTGCGAAAAAATTTTTTTTTTTAAAAAATCCACGTCTTTTACTTTTGTGGAAAAATATTTTTTTAAAAAATCCACGTCTTTTACTTTTGTGGAAAAATATTTTTTTTAAAAATCCACGTCTTTTACTTTTGTGGAAAAATATTTTTTAAAAAATCCACGTCTTTTACTTTTGTGGAAAAATATTTTTTTAAAAAATCCACGTTTTTTACTTTTGTGGAAAAATATTTTTTTTAAAAATCCACGTCTTTTACTTTTGTGGAAAAATATTTTTTTAAAAAATCCACGTCTTTTACTTTTGTGGAAAAATATTTTTTTTAAAAAATCCACGTCTTTTACTTTTGTGGAAAAATATTTTTTTTAAAAAATCCACGTCTTTTACTTTTGTGGAAAAATATTTTTTTTAAAAATCCACGTCCTTTACTTTTGTGGAAAAATATTTTTTTAAAAAATCCACGTCTTTTACTTTTGTGGAAAAATATTTTTTTAAAAAATCCACGTCTTTTACTTTTGTGGAAAAATATTTTTTTAAAAAATCCACGTCTTTTACTTTTGTGGAAAAATATTTTTTTTAAAAATCCACGTCTTTTACTTTTGTGGAAAAATATTTTTTTAAAAAATACACGTCTTTTACTTTTGTGGAAAAATATTTTTTTAAAAAATCCACGTCTTTTACTTTTGTGGAAAAATATTTTTTTAAAAAATCCACGTCTTTTACTTTTGTGGAAAAATATTTTTTTTAAAAAATCCACGTCATTTATTTTTATGGAAAAATATTTTTTTAAAAAATCCACGTCTTTTACTTTTGTGGAAAAATATTTGTTCAGCAGTCCACATCTTTTATTTCTGTGGAACAATATTTTTTTAAAAAATCCACGTCTTTTACTTTTGTGGAAAAATATTTTTTTAAAAAATCCACGTCTTTTAGTTTTGTGGAAAATATTTTTTTTAAAAAATCCACGTCTTTTACTTTTGTGGAAAAATATTTTTTTTAAAAAATCCACGTCATTTATTTTTATGGAAAAATATTTTTTTAAAAAATCCACGTCTTTTACTTTTGTGGAAAAATATTTGTTCAGCAGTCCACATCTTTTGTTTTTGTCGAGAAATATTTTTTCATAAAATCCACTTCTCTTATTTTTGTGGAAATACTTTTTTTAAAAATTGCGGACTGAAAGGGCAATGGAAGAATATTAACATGGCAAAAAAAATAAATAGCAAAAAAAAATTACAAAACCTGCCACAGACCTATGTGTTTGTGTCTTAAGTCTTTCGTTTTATTTGGTATTATTTGTTTGTGAGTTTGAAAAATTTGTTTTGTTTTTATAAAAATAATAAATATGAAACTAAAACAGGTTAACAAAAATAGTTTAAAGAACAAATGTTTAATAAATAGATTTATTTGAAAAAAAAAAAAACAAAAGACTTAAGACACAAACCTGACTCTTAAAGTGGCCTTTTTGAGATTATTTGATTTCCTTTATTAATTATTTATATACAAAATTTTAATTGATCTTCTTACCTTCATATAACACACCAGCACGGCTAGGAATCCAATTGAACTCCAGGAATTCATTTTTCTTAAATTTCAAATAATTAAAAAAAATAATTTCCGCTTAATATTCAAAGTTCTCTCCCGCTATCAATCGACTGCCAATCATCAATGACTTCATTTCCATTTATATTTATTTTTTCCCAAAAAAAATCTTTCAACAATTTTTTTAATTAATAGTTTCATTGTGGGAAGGCAATTTCAATGATAGCCCAATGACATGCTGCCATAGATTAAGATTTATCCATAGGATATTTTGGAAAATAATCCCAAAAATATTATAAACCAAATTTATATTTAGGCATTAATCCGACGGAGCAATAATGCGCTGGGAATTGGAATTAATTTGGCATTTCATTTGATTTTCAAAATTGAATTTATAAATACAAATTGGTGTTTAAAAAATTACATTTGTTTTCTGTTTGCATATCAATTACTGTGGGTGTTGAGTAATAAATGCGGGAGATAGAGATCAATTGCTTATGAATATTTACAGCAGCATTAAAAAGTACAAAAGTTGCATTGAATAAATTTATTATCAATTGAATATCACGGGGAGGGTTAGAAAATTCATGTATCATCCATCCATCCACATCCTTTATTTTTGTGGAAAAATATTTTATTAAAATATCCACGTCTTTTATTTTTGTGGAAAAATATTCTTTGGAAAATTCACATCTTTTATTTTTGCAGAATTTTTAAAAAAATTTCCACGTCTTTAATTTTTGTGGAAAAATATTCTTTGAAAAATGCACATCTTTTATTTTTGTAGATTTTTTTTTAAATATCCACGTCTTTTATTTTGTGGAAAAATATATGTACTTATTTTTAATCTACGTATTTTATTTTTGTGAGGAATATTTAAAAAAAAATCCACGACTTTTATTTGTGTGGAAATACGTCTTTTAAAATATCCACGTCCATTATTTTTGAGAAAAAATATGTTTTTTAAAACATCCAGGTTTTTTATTTTGGAGAAATATATATTTTTAAAAAATCCACGTCCTTTGTTTTTGTGGAAATTATTTTTTTAAAGAATCCAATTTTTTTGTTTTTGTGGAAAAATATTTTTTAAAAAATCCAAGTCTTTTATTTTTGTAGAATTTTTTTTTTAATACAAATATTTTTTTTTAAAAATCACGTCTCTTATTTTTGTGAAAAAATATTTTTAAATAAAAATCCATGTCTTTTATTTTTGTGGGAAATATTTTTTAAAAAATACACTTTCATTATTTTTGTGGAAATACGTTTTTTAAAAAATATTTCTATTAAAAAATTCTTCCTTTAATTTCGTGGATTTTTTTTTAAATCTACGTTTCTTTTTTTGTGCAAAAATATTTAAAAAAAAAAATCACATCTGTTACTACTTCGAAAAAAAATTAAAAAATCCACGTCAGTTGCTACTTTGAAAAAATATTTTTTTAAAAATTCCCCGCTTGTTGATGCTTTAAAAAAAATATTTTTTAACATTCCATGTCTGCTATTTTGCTATTTTTAAAAATAATATTTTTTGAAACATATACGTCTCTTCGCTTATCTGAAAAAAAAATTAAATCAACGTCTGCCCCTCACTTGAAAAAATATTTTTTTTAAATCCACGTCTGTCGTTCATTTGAAAATATATTTTTTTTTTATCCACGTCCTTTATTTTTGTGGATTTTTTTTTTAATCCAAGTCCTTTATATTTGCGAAAAAAATATTTTTTTTAAAAAATCCACGACTTTTGTTAAATTTTTCTAAACACCCATGTCCATTATTTTTGTGTAAAAATATTTTTTAAAATATTCACATCTATATATTTATGTGGAAAATATTTTTTTTTTAATTAAACCCAATTATTTTTTTTGACTTTTATTTTTGTGGAAAAATGTTTTTAAAAACATAAAGTATATATTTGTGGAAGAAAACTCCACGTCTGTTGCTACTTTGAAAAAAATATTTTTTAAAAAATATCCACGTCTGTTGCTACCTCGAAAAAAATATTTAAAAAAAATCCACGTCTATTGTTCCTTTGAAAATATATTTTTTCATAAAAAATCAACGCCTGTTTGCTTTTGAAAAAAAAATATTTTTCTTAAAAATCCACGTCTGTTTGCCTTTGAAGAAATATTTTTTTTTAAATATTTTAGAGATGATAGTTTTTATTGCTATTTTGAAAAAAAAAATTATGAGAACCCACTACTGTTGCTTTTTTGACAATATTCTTTTGAAAAATCTACTTCTGTTGCTATTTTGAAAATATATTTTTTAAAAAATCCAAGTCTATTACATTTTTTAATCTATACCTGGTACTACTTAGAAATAAATATTTTTTTTAAATCCACGTCTATTTTAACATTAAAAAAAATTATTTTTTAAACAACCAACTTCCGTTTGCCACGACTGTGTGTTTTTTTGAAAAAATATTTTTTAAGTATCCACGCGTGTAGCTACTTTCAAAAAATATTTTTTTTAATGTTCAACGTCAGTTGTTACTTTGAAAAAAAATTTTTTTTTATAAAATCGACATCTTTTAGTCTTTGAAAACAAATTTTTATAAGAAAATCTACCTCTATCCTGATCTTTAAATATTCAATTTTGTCGTGGTCCTTAAAATATCCTATAAAAAATCCACGTTTGTCCTGGTCTTTAAAGAAATATTCTTTATGAAATTTTGGTTTGTCCTGAACATTTTGCAAATATTTTTTAAAAACGCCGTGTTTGTCCTGGTACTTTTACAAATATATATTTTTTTAAATTCCGCGTTTTTGAGAAGAAAACTCATTAAAAGCCTCGTTTGTTCTGGTCTTTAAAAAATTCACGTCTTTCCTGGCCCGCTGTTACTTTGAATCATATATTTAAAAAAATCTCGTCATTTGCCACTTTAAAGAAATATTTTTTTTTAAATTTACGTCTGCTGCAGCTTAAAAAAATATTTTTTTTAAAAATCCATAACTGTTGCTACTTTGAAAAAAAAATTGAGCAACATCGTTTAGTCTTCAAAAATATATTTTTAAAATAAAATCTAGAGCTGTCATAGTCTTAAAAAATTAGCTTTGTTTTGGTCCTTAAAATATCCATTAAAAAGAAACCACGTCTGTCCTGGTCTCTGAAAAAATATTCTTTATAAATGCCATTTTTGTCCTGGTTCTTGAAAATTAATTAAAAATTCTCAGTTGTTCTGGTTCTTAAAAAAATATTCTTTATAAATATTCTCCTAAAATTTATAAATAAAATTCATAAAAATCCTTATTTGTCCCGGTCTTTAAAAAGCCTCATCTTCTCTGGTCTTGAAAATTTTTCAAAAAAATATCTAGTTCTTGAAAAATATTCTTTAAAAATCCATGTTTGCCCCGGGTTTCTGAAATTTCTCCTTAAAAAATCCATATTTTGCCCTAGGCTTGGAAATAACCTCCTTGAAATATTACTTGTCCTGGTCCTCGAAAAAAAAAAAACATTCTTTACAAATTCCAGATTTCATCCATTATTGCCCTCGAAGTCTTTGAAAAAATTATTAAATAATCTGCTTTTTATGTCCTCTACGGTCCTTGGATTTTTTTAAATTCCTGAAAATAAATTTAAAATAGTCCTAAAAATGTTTTTTATTTATTTCTTATTTCTCTGTGATTTTTCTGAGGATATTTTTTAAACTCAGAGTTGGTATACTTGAAAAACATTTTTTAAATTTTTTGTATCCTTGATGTTTCTTATAAAAGTGATTACAAATCTAAAAATTATTGTTTTTCTTCCGAATTTGCCGTTATGGCTCTGGTAGTCCTTGAATAAAAACTTAAAACTTTTTTTAAATGCTTTATTTATTAGGAATTAAATTAAAAAAAATACAACCTTTTTGAATGGATTTAACAAATTATTAAATGTTGATAGGATAAATATAAGTTACACACAACTAAACAAAGGGGGTTTGAGACATTGTTTACACAGCGGACCAACTTGTTTGTTTATTACTGTATTTTTTTTAATTCAGTGGGCTAGGGCGTGTTCTTTGAGACAGGCACCATATTGGACAGCAGCTTCGCAACTAAAAAAAAATAATTTTTATATTTAATATATATTTTTTTAAATATTTGATAATCCTATAACTTACTGATCATCATCAACCTCCAACGATTCGCAGGCCTCAACAATAGCAGTGGCCTTGGCTTCATCATCACCAAATAGGGCAATGCCAACTTCAATGGCCTTCTCCTTGACCATTTTGCCATCGGCGAGCTTAAATAATAATAATAATAATAATAATAATAATAATAATAATAATAATAATAATAATAATAATAATAATAATAATAATAATAATAATAATAATAATAATAATAATAATAATAATAATAATAATAATAACAATTATTATTACTATTATTTTTATTTACAATTATTTTTATTAATATTAATATTATTATCATTAGTATTAATATAAAAATAAAATTTAATATTATTTTTTTAATTGCAAAAATAAGGCTTGCGTTAAAACAATTATTCTTATATCACTTATTAAAATAAGCTATTATTATAAATTCAATGAGAGTATAATTAGTATTAAGTTGCATTGCAACATGTTCGTTGTAGAAATGTTGTTAGCTACTTACCACACCGAACTTCTCCATTATACATGCTGCCATACATTTGCCCTCATGTGTGGACGGGGCCTCGTGGTTTTTCAAAGCTTCAACATCATCTGAAACAGAAATGAAAAAAAGGTGGGATTCACTTTTCGGTTACCTTCCAAAAAAATTTTTAAAAAAAAATATATTAAAAAAATATTTTTTTTTTTTAATCCGTGTGTGTGGGTCCTTGAAGAATTACCTTATTACCTGGAGAAAATATTTTCTTTTAAATTAGCCACATTTGTGACTCTTAAAAAATATTCTTTGATCTCTTTTGTTGAGGCCCTTGAAAAAACAAATGTTCTTTAAAAAATCGACGTAGGCTATGTCTTTAGAAAATAAAAAAATCTAATCTAAAAAATGTAATTTTAAATTTTTCTCAAAATAATTCACTTTTGGGCCTTTGGAAAAATAGTCTATGTTTGCTAAGGACCTTAAATAAATATCCTTACAAATTTCAATATCTGACGATATGTGTAAAAATATTAAAAAAAGAAGGAAAGTCGAGATCGACCATGTAATACCCTACGCCCCTACTACACTTCTCGACAAAAAAAAAATATCTGCTAAAAATTTTGAAAAAATATCTGCTAAAAATTTTGCGTTGGCTTAGTCCTTAAAAATATAAAAATCTAATCTAAAGGTCCTAAAAAATATTTATCAGAAAACTTAAAATTTGAGTTTTTCTTAAAAAAAAAAAAAATTCTCAAAAAATTCTCTTTTGGATCTTTGAAATAAATGTGTTTTTAAAGTCCACGTTAGCTAAGGACCTTGAATAAAAATATGAAAAATATTTGAAGAAAAAAACAAAGGCTATAATCTGCCAGGGCCGATTATATGGTACCGTTCCCTTAGGTCCAAATCCATTTTGGTCGATTTCGTTTTTGAAATAGTGCAACCTAAGCCAACCCTGACTCCATGCAAAAATATCGTAAGGATAGAGTCTTAATTGAGATATACCATGATTATAAATTGTGTTGCAGGGTATTACTTTTAAAAGATCTGCATTTGTTGAAGTCCTTAAAAAATAGTTTAAAAAATCCACGCTAGTGTTAGTTCTTGAAATTTTTTTTCTTTACAGAACTCTGATTTGCTGTGGTCCTCTGAAAACATGTCTTTTAAGTTCCTGGAAAAATTATTTTTTCTAATGCAACCTGACTCTGTTTATCCTTCAAAAATTATCTTTAAAGTGGTCAAGTTTGTGATCCCGATTATTATTTGAAAAATCCACATTTGCTCCTCTGAATATCCTTTAATATAATCCTTAAAAAGTCCACGTCTATTGTTCCGATTGTGCTTCAGAACTGAAATTAAAAAATCCACATCTATGGTTCCGATTGTCCCTCTGAAATATTCTTTAAAAAATCCAGGTCTATTGTTCCGATCATCCTTTAGGAATAAAATTTAAAAAATCCACATCTATGGTTCCGATTATCCCTCGGAAATAATCTTTTAAAAATCCAAGTTTGCTGCTCAGAATATCCTTTAAAATAATTTTTAAAAATCTACGTTTGTTGCCTGATTATCCTTCGAAAATTATTATAAAATTCAATATTTGGCCCTGATTATCCTTAAAAAAATATTTCTTAGAAATCCACTTTTGTGTTTCCGGTTATGCTTAAAAAAAGTTCCTTAAAAACATCCTTCCAATATGGTATCCTCAAAACCCTTGTGAAGGTCCTTGCTTAAAAATATTGTAAAATCCACGAATTTTATTTAATCCATTTTAGTGTTCCAGGTTAATCTACGTTTCTTTAAAAAAATATTTCTAAAGAACACTTTTTGCCTCTGAGTATCCTTTCAATAAATTTCCTTTGAAAATCCACTTTTGTAGCAATGATATCCCTAAAAATCCACAATTGTTGTGGAGGCCCATGCTAAAAAAAATCTTATAAAATTCACGATATTTAATCCACTTTTGTGGCTTTGGTTATGCTTCAGAAATTTCCTTAAAAAACTCACGTTTGGGGCCTTTCAATAATATTTCTTTAGAAATACACCTTTGTTGAGGTCCTTGCTAAAAAATCTTATAAAAATCTTCGATTTATATTTAGTCCACTTTCAGAAATGTTACCTAAAAACTCCACGTTTATGGTTTTGATTATCCTTCCAAAAATAGATTAAACAAAACTCTTTTGGCTTCTGAGTATTCTTTCCATAATTTTACTTTAAAAATCCACCTTTGTACTTATAGTATCCTGAAAAATCCACAATTGTGGTGTAGGTCCTTGCTAAAAAATATATAAAATTTACGAATTATTTTTATCTGGTTATCCTTCAAAAATATTCCTTTAAAAATCTACGTTTACGGCTTCGATTATCCTTCCAAAATTTTTTTCTCCAAACAAAAAAAAAGCTTTTTTGTCTCTGAGTATCCTCTCAATAACATTCCTTAAAAATCCACTTTGTAGCTATGATGTCCTTAAAAATGCAAAATTGTTGAATTTATTTAATATATTTTTGTGGCTTATCCTTCAGAAATATTCCTTAAAAATCCACGTTTATGGTTTTGATTATCCTTCCAAAAAATATTTCTCGAAAAAAACTTTTTTGTCTCTGAGTATCCTTTCAATGATATTCCTTTTAAAATCCACTTTTGTAGCTATGGTATCCTTAAAAATCCACAAAAAAATCTTGAATAATCCATTAATTATATTTACTTCCACTTTTGTGGCTCTGGTATCCTTCAGAAATGTTCCTTAAAAAATCTACTTTTAAGAATAATCGTATCCTTCCAAAAAATGTTTCCAATTTTTTGTTTGTCTCTGAGTATCCTTTCAGTTTATGGCTTTGATTATCCTTCATAAAATTAAAAATCCACAACTTTTGGGCAGGTCCTTCAAAAATTCATGTAAAATTCACGAATTATATTTGATGAAATAGTGGATGAAATATCCACTTTTGAGGCTCTGGTTATCTTTACTTTTCAGAATAATCCTTTCCTTCCAAAAAATATTTCTAAATTATTTATATTGTCTCTGAGTATCCTTTCAGTAATATTCCTTTAAAAAATCCACCTTTGTAGGTCCTTGAAAAAAAAATATAATACAAATAATTAATCATATTTACCATCTGAAGCTCCTTGCTCCTCCTTACAGGCAGCTGCTACGGCAATTGCATTTTCCTTGGTCAACTCCTCCGACTGTAAAATATAAAAAAGGAAACAATTAATCAACGTTTGGGAAACAAACTGGTTCATTTCCTTATTTAGGAACTGTGTATTTCTATGGAAACATCAATGCAGCCGGATTGAATTCAAGTTTTCCTATTAAGCATGGCTGAGTGGAATTTGGAAATCAAATTCTCCAGGTTTGGAATGAAAAACACCACTTAGCCAGCCAGTGGAAGATATTCCTCTCAGAAATCCTGTTTCATAGAATATTGAGGGCTGGACTTTCCCTCAATTAAAAAAAAAAAACCTTAAAAACGTTGACATTGAAATAGACTTGGATATTTCTCCTTTGCTATTTTAAACTTATGCATTAAGGTTTTAATTGATCCACTTTGAGATATAGCTTCTATACTGCTTGAACTCTCGATTTTTAGGTATTTTCAAGATCTCCTACTCATTTTCTATCATAGATGTATGTTGGAATTTCAGGCTGTCCGAAAATGTCATTACATAATTCCACACAAATACGTGAAGCTCTATGCAAAACAAAAGACCTAAGACACAAACTCGACTCTTCACTCCCACAACCCAATTCACCAGAGCTGAAATGAAGTTTTCTTAACGGAAACACAACTCAGTCGGCCTGAGTGGAAGTTTTTGCTCTCAAAAACCCTTTCTCACAGAAGGAGAGTCTATTTTTGCATTGAAAACGCGAAAGAAACTTTTTACCGATTTTTATATTCCTCCTTTGCTTTTTTAATCTTAGAGCGGTACTTTTTGAGATTTGGGCCCTACATGGCTTGATCTCTCGATTTTTGGTATTTTGAGAATCTCATATTCATTTTCTACCATTGATGGGGTATAAAATTTCAGGATCTCAAAAAATCTCATAATAAAATTCAACACAAACCCACCATGAAAGACAAAAGACTAAAGACACAAACTCGACTCTTCACTCTCACAAACCCAATTCACAGGAGCTGAAATGAAGTTTTCTTAACGGAACACAACTCAGCCGGGCTGAGTGGAAGTTTTTGCTCTCCGAAACCCTTTCTCATAGTAGTAATTCCACACAAACACACGAAGGTCTATGCAAAACAAAAGACTTAAGACACAAACTTGACTCTTCACTCCCACAAACCCAATTCTAGAGAGTTGGAATGAAGTTTTCTTTAGCAAAACAGAACTCAGCCGGCTTGAGTGGAAATTTTTGCTCTCAAAAACCCTTTCTCACAGAAGGAATGTCTATTCCTCCATTGAAAACGTGACAGAAACTTTTTACAGATTTTTATATTCCTCCTTTGCTTTTTTAATTTTAGAGCGGCACTTTTTGAGATTTGGGCCCTACGTGGCTAGACCTCTTGATTTTTAATATTTTGAAGATTTCCTACTTATTTTCTGCCATAGATGGAGTTCGGAGTTTCAGGCTCTTAAAAAATTCATTATATAATTCCACACAAACACAGGAAGCACTATGCAAAATAAAAGACTTAAGACACAAACTTGTGTTGCGGCATTTCTGAGATAGGGGCCCTACATGTCTTGACCTCTCGATTTTCGGAATCTTGAGGATCTCATACTCATTTTCTACCATTTTTTGGAACTTCAGGCTGCCAAAAAATGTCATTAAAAAATTCCACACGAAGCAAAACAAAAGACTTAAGACACAAACTCGACTCTTCACTCTCGCAAACCCAATTCACGAGAGTTGGAATGAAGTTTTCTTAACGGAAACACAACTCAACCGGCCTGAGTGGAAGTTTTTGCTCTCCAAAACCCTATTCCATATAATAATAGGGGCACGGTTATGCCTTCATTGAAAACGAAATCGAAATTTTATAGAGATTAAAAAGGAGGATTAAAAGAGGATTATATCCCTCCTTAGCTGTTATTATATCTAAAGCGGTATGGTACCATACATTGCTTGACCTCTCGACTTTAGGTGTTTTGAAGATCCCATTTGCATTTTTTCCATAGATGGGCTTTGGAGTTTCAGCCTCTCAAAAAACATAATTTTATATATCAACACAGACTCACACAACCACCAAGCAAAACAAAAGACTTAAGGCACAAACTTGTCTTCACTTCCACAAAGTTTTTGATTTTCGTCGATTTTTTCTCTTTTCTTTCAATTTCGGATTTGAACATTTTTTGTTTTTTTTTTAATTTTTTCTTTTTAATTTGGTTTTGGATTTGAAGCAATTTTTTGAAAAATATTGGTTTATGCCTTGGAAGTCCTTTGAAAATTTTAATTTAAAAAATCCACGTTTATGCCTCGGTTGTCCTTTCGAAAAATTTCATTTTAAAAATCCACGTTTATGCCTCGGTTGTCCTTTCGAAAAATTTCATTTAAAAAATCCACGTTTATGCCTCGGTTGTCCTTTCGAAAAATTTCATTTAAAAAATCCACGTTTATACCCCGGTTGTCTTTTCGAAAAATTTCATTTAAAAAATCCACGTTTATGCCCCGGTTGTCCTTTCGAAAATTTTCATTTAAAAATCCACGTTTATGCCTCGGTTGTCCTTTCGAAAAATTTCATTTAAAAAATCCACGTTTATGCCTCGGTTGTCCTTTCGAAAAATTTCATTTAAAAAATCCACGTTTATGCCTCGGTTGTCCTTGCGAAAAATTTCATTAAAAAAAAACCACATTTATGCCTGGGATGTCCTTTGAAAATTTTAATTTAAAAAATCCACGTTTATACCTCAGATGTCCTTTGGAAAATTTCATTAAAAAATGCATGTTTATGCCTCGACTCTCCTTTGAAAAATTTCATTTAAAAAACCAACGTTTATGCCTCGGTTGTCCTTTCGAAAAATTTCATTTAAAAAATCCACGTTTATGCCTCGGTTGTCCTTTCGAAAAATTTCATTTAAAAAATCCACGTTTATGCCTCGGTTGTCCTTTCGAAAAATTTCATTTAAAAAATCCACGTTTATGCCTCGGTTGTCCTTTCGAAAAATTTCATTTAAAAAATCCACGTTTATGCCTCGGTTGTCCTTTCGAAAAATTTCATTTAAAAAATCCACGTTTATGCCTCGGTTGTCCTTTCGAAAAATTTCATTTAAAAAATCCACGTTTATGCCTCGGTTGTCCTTTCGAAAAATTTCATTTAAAAAATCCACGTTTATGCCTCGGTTGTCCTTTCGAAAAATTTCATTTAAAAAATCCACGTTTATGCCTCGGTTGTCCTTTCGAAAAATTTCATTTAAAAAATCCACGTTTATGCCTCGGTTGTCCTTTCGAAAAATTTCATTTAAAAAATCCACGTTTATGCCTCGGTTGTCCTTTCGAAAAATTTCATTTAAAAAATCCACGTTTATGCCTCGGTTGTCCTTTCGAAAAATTTCATTTAAAAAATCCACGTTTATGCCTCGGTTGTCCTTTCGAAAAATTTCATTTAAAAAATCCACGTTTATGCCTCGGTTGTCCTTTCGAAAAATTTCATTTAAAAAATCCACGTTTATGCCTCGGTTGTCCTTTCGAAAAATTTCATTAAAAAAATCCACGTTTATGCCTCGGTTGTCCTTTCGAAAAATTTCATTTAAAAAATCCACGTTTATGCCTCGGTTGTCCTTTCGAAAAATTTCATTTAAAAAATCCACGTTTATGAATCAGATATAATTTCGAAAAAATTAATTTAAAAAATCCACGTTTATGCCTCGAAAAATAAAAATTTAATTTAACAAATCCACGTTTATGCCTCAGATGTCCTTTGGAAATTTTTCATTTAAAAAATCCACGTTTATGCCTCGGTTGTCCTTTCGAAAAATTTCATTTAACAAATCCACGTTTATGCCTCAGATGTCCTTTGGAAATTTTTCGTTTAAAAAACCCACGTTTATGCCTTGGATGTTCTTTGAAAAATTTCATTTAAAAATCCACGTTTATGCTCCGGATGTCATTTCGAAAATTTTCATTTTAAAAATTTGGTATTGGATTTGAAGCAATTTTTTTTATTTATTTATTTTTTTTGGTATAAAAATTGATTTGCTTTACCTTAATGTAACTCACGGCCAAAGCCAAAACCACAACGGAAGCCAGAAATTTCATGTCGATGTGTATTTGCCGTAAACTCTAAAACACAAATAATTTCGAGTCATCAAAATACTTCACTATTTATTGGCAGTGGCTAATCTTCTTCTATGCGATAAAAATACCGCACAAGGTATTTGTCGTAAAGTTTTCATGTAGAATAAAATTTTGTGTTTTCAATATCAATTTAATTGCACTGAGAATTTTTCATAGCTAGATATGAGAAAAACGAGAAAACACAATTGAAGGAAAAAAATAAAAAAAAAAACAACAACCAAAAATAGTCAAATCTTATTGAAGTTGGCATACCGTCGTCATAGGTGATGAGAGGCCAGTTGATGGCTTATTGCCATAGACATGACACCTTAAGGTTGTACAATGCTGTAACCATAAAATATTATGAAGTTCATTTCACCCTCCCAAAAACCCCCATCCCTCCCAAGCCATCCCTATACGTCCTCTCCACATACTAAGTGTTGTTAATAATTATTTGCCTCTGCCAATAAATATTATGGTCAATTAAGTTCCAAAGTAATTTTCATCATCGAAAAATTTCCACTTTTTCACATACGAATATGGAATACAGAAAAAAAAAATTGTAAAACAATAGCTAATAAACTTTTCCATGCTAATCTCACGTCTTTGCGATTTGAATCTCTTTCTCTAATGGAAATGTCAATTTCGCTGAATGTTAACATTTTTCATCTTTAATTGGTTTATTCAGTAATAATTTCATGTTTGAAAAAAATAATTGGAAATATTTTTTCTCAGGGCAAGAGATGATGAGTAGGACAATGAGGTAAGATTAAGATTAAAAAAATAAGTTTATAGTGGATTTTATTGAAAAAATTCTAAATCAAAAAAAAATCATTAAAAAAATTCACGCCGCCCTTTGAAAAATTTCATTAAAAAAATCCACGTCTATGCCTCGGATGTCCTTTGAAAAAATTTCATTTTAAAAATCCACGTTAATGCCTCGGATGTCCTCTGAAAATTTTCATTTAAAAAATCCACGTTTAGGCCTCGGATGTCCTTTAAAAAAATCCAAGTTTATGCCTTGCATGTCCTTTGAAAAAATTTAATTTAAAAAATCCATGTTTATGTCTCAGATATCCTTTGAAAAAATTTATTTTAAAAATCCAAGTTTATGCCTCGGATGTCCTTTGAAAAAAATTCATTTTAAAATCCACTTAAAAATTTTCCTTTAACAAATTTCATTTTAAAAATCCACGTTAATGCCTCGGATGTCCTCTGAAAATTTTCATTTAAAAAATCCACGTTTAGGCCTCGGATGTCCTTTAAAAAAATCCAAGTTTATGCCTTGCATGTCCTTTGAAAAAATTTCATTTAAAAAATCCATGTTTATGTCTCAGATATCCTTTGAAAAAATTTATTTTAAAAATCCAAGTTTATGCCTCGGATGTCCTTTGAAAAAAATTCATTTTAAAATCCACTTAAAAATTTTCCTTTAACAAATTTCATTTAAAAAATCCACGTTTATGCCTTGGATGTCCTTTGAAAAATTTCATTTAAAAAATCCACTTCAAAATTTTCCTTTAAAACATTTCATTTAAAAAATCCACGTTTATGCCTCGGATGTCCTTTCGAAAAATTTCATTTAAAAAATCCACTTTTATGTCTCGGTTGTCCTTTGAAAATTTTCATTAAAAAAATCCACGTTTATGGCTCGACTGTCCTTTGAAAAATTTCATTTAAAAAATCCACGTTCATGCCTTGGATGTCCTTTAAAAATTTTCATTAAAAAATCCACGTTTATGCCTTGGATGTCCTTTGAAAAATTTCATTTAAAAAATCCACGTTTATGCCTTGGATGTCCTTTGAAAAATTTCATTTAAAAAATCCACGTTTATGCCTCGGATGTTCTTTGAAAAAATTTCATTTTAAAAATCCACGTTAATGCCTCGGATGTCCTCTGAAAATTTTCATTTAAAAAATCCACGTTTATGCCTCGGATGTCCTTTCGAAAAATTTCATTAAAAAAATCCACGTTTATGCCTCAGATGTCCTTTGAAAAATTTCATTTAAAAAATCCACGTTTATGCCTCGAATATCCTTTGAAAATTTAAAAAAATAAAAAAAAATCATTTTTATACCTTGACTGCTTTTTCAAAATTTTTATTTGAAAAATCCACGTTTATGCCTCAGCTGTCCTTTGAAAAAAGTCATTTAAAAAATCCACATTTATGCCCCGGATGTCCTTTCGAAAAATTTCATTTAAAAAATCCAAGTTTATGTATTGGATGTCCTTTGAAAAAAATCATTTTAAAAATCCACGTTCATGGCTCGACTGTCCTTTGAAAATTTTCATTTCAAAAATACACGTTTATGCCTCAGATGTCCTTTGAAAGTTTTAAAAAAATAAAAAAATTCATTTTTACACCTTGACTGCTTTTTCAAAATTTTTATTTGAAAAATCCACATTTATGCCTCATATATCCTTTGAAAAATTTCATTTAAAAAATCCACGTTTAAATCCTTTGAAAAATTTCATTTAAAAAATCCACGTTTAAATCCTTTGAAAAAAATTCATTTAAAAATCCACGTTGTCCTTTGAAAAAAATTCATTTAAAAATCCACGTTGTCCTTTGAAAAAAATTCATTTAAAAATCCACGTTGTCCTTTGAAAAAAATTCGTTAAAAAAATCAACGTTTATGCCTCGGTAGTCTTTCGAAAAATTTCATTAAAAAATCCATGTTTATGCCTCGACTGTCCTTTGAAAAGAATTCATTTAAAAAATCCACGATGTCCTTTCGAAAAATTTCATTTAAAAAATCCACGTTTATGCCTCTGGAGTCCTTTCGCAAAATTTCATTTAAAAAATCCTCGTTTATGCCTCGGATTTAATTTGAAAAATCCACATTTACAAAAATATTATTTTTATTTATTATTATTTTTAAATAAACACATTTCAATAAATACAAAATAATTAAATTATAAATAATCAACAATTTAAGAACTTCTTGTCATCTACATGGCTCCCTCAAAGGTTATTGTCACCGGGGCCCTCTCGGCAATGCATTTATAAAAGATCTCGGTACTCTCGCATCTGAAAAAGACACAAAGAAACAGTATATTTAGTAGTCAGGGTAATTGTTATACTTGGTATAAATAGGATATCTCCTTAGAGGACTTTTTCACAGGGAAGACCTTTATGAGGGAAATCTGCAAAAAAATATTTAGGGAGCCCTAAAATTTCTTTATTTTTATTTTTTATTTTTTTTATTTATTTATTTTTTTTTTTTTTTTTGGAGGAAGTTTGTAATTTATGTTTTAATGACGGTCCTACAAGTCTCCGAATTTGGACGATTTCCGATTTCAGATCTTCAATATAATTCATTATAAATACTTACTTATCGACATCACTTGGAACTTGTTTTACGCAATATGCAGCTGCTAGCTCGGCTATCTCGCGGTGAAAGGGATTTCGTCTCGATGCCATCCAGCCTGTGGTTTGTGGTACATTTTTCAGAAAATGGCCACGTTTATTGAACTGAAAATTTAAATTCTGTTAGAAATTGCAATTCAAATTTTTTTTATATCGCCTACCAAAAGACACTCCTCAAAGATGCAGGCCCGAAAGCATTTGGAATTTTCATTCATGGCCGGACGTATGAAAATGAAATCTTGGAGAGCCTCTGAAAGTGGAAAGAATTTTTAGTAGTTTTTTTTTTATTTTTCAATAAGGTAGGGTTAACTTTTGTAGAGATTTAGAAGACTACTTCAAAAAAAAATAAAAAATAAATAAATAAAATAAAATAAAAAAGCCAGCTTAATTTTCAAACCCACCTTCACCCACATTATGATCCGCCGAACATTTCTTGACAGTATCCCTTAGAAATGGGCCAGTACACCATTTATACTGAAATTTATTTGAAAAAAGAACAGGAAAATATTTTTAATTTTCTTTAATATTTCTACCCACCGCTTGCAGAGCTTCGGCACACATCAGCCAAGAGCTCAATAAAACGACACTGCTACTTATTTTCATTTCGAATTTTCTGAAATAACTTCAGCACTTAAAAAATCAATAATAAATTTCAATATTTCTTTCATCGCTCTTTTATAATGAAGAGTTTTCGCTTCCGCACAGAAATTAAGTAATGTATTTGAAATTTGTCAAATTTTGAAAAATGAGATTGAAATTAATCAATTTTAATTTCGATTACAAAATTTTCGGAAAGATTTAAAGAAAAAAAATTACCTAAGATTACAAAACAGGTTTTTTTTAAATAAATATTTTTTTACGGTTACCCGGATCAAAAAAAAAAAAAAAACAAAATAAATAAATGAAAAATGCCGAATATATACTTTTTTTTGGAAATTTTGCTGTAAATACTAGTATTTCCTTGATATACCATGAATATAGAGATTTTTTTCTTTGGAAACTTATAGTGAAATTTGATGAAGAATATTTTTGTCATTGACGTCATCTTTCGACAATTATGCTTTGCGGGAGATTTTTGCACAAACTCACACAGAGTATGGTTTTTACCCTAAAATAGCTCTCTGATATATATGAATTTCTGGTGTTTAGCTAAGACTTAGACTTTTGATGTCTTTCAGGACCTATAGTAGAATTTCATGACAAATAATTTTGTAGAATATTTTGACTTGCTACGATCCTTTTAAGAGGGAGTTTTTGACCATATTTTAAAAAAGTACCAAACATAGCCAAACAAACAATTTTTTAACCAAAATACTGCTCGTATTATTATCTGTAATATTTCCAAAGACAATAGATATTTAAAATACACGGATTCTGAGGAATTTAAATTCGAAAATTTTCAAAAGGTTGGAAGACGGGGTAACTTTTCAAAGGATATCATTTTTTTTTTTTTTAACGTGGATTTTTTAAAAGAATATTTTCTAAGGATATCAATTTTGTAAACGTGGATTTTATAAAGAAAAAAATAAGATAACAAAAATTTCAAAGGATATCAAAGAATATTTTTAAAGGATATTGGATATTTTGTAAACGTGGATTTAAAAAAATATTTTCAAAGGATATTTTTAAAGTATATCAATTTTGCAAACGTGGATTTTAAAATAAAAATACTTTCACAGGATATCAAAGAATATTTTCGAAGGATATCAATTTTGTAAACGTTGATTAAAAAAAAAATACAAAGGATATCAAAGATATCAAAGTATATCAATTTTGTGAACGTGGATTTTAAAATAAAAATATTTTCAAAGGATATCAAAGAATATTTTCAAAAAACAACAGAGGCATAAGCGCAGATCTTTTAAATTAAATTCTTTTTGAACCTATATTTTATAAATGAAAAATTTGTAAAGGATTTTTAAATGAAATTTTTCAGAGGACATCCGAGGCATAAACTTGAATTTTTTAAATTAAATCTTGCAAAGGACATCCGATGCATAAACGTGGATTTTTTAAATGAAATTTTTCAAAGGACATCCGAGGCATAAATGTGAATTTTTTAAATGAAATTTTTCAAAGGACAACCGAGGCATAAACGTGGATTTTTTAAATGAAAATTTTCAAAGGACATCCGAGACATAAACCTGGATTTTTTCAAAGGAAAGTCGATGCAAAAAACGTGCATTTTTTAAATGAAATTTTTCAAAGAACATCCGAGCCATAAACGAGGATTTTTTCAATAATTTTTTTAAATTACATTCGAGATATAAACGTGGATTTTTTAAATGAAATTTTTCGAAGGACATCCGAGGCATAAACGTGGATTTTTTAAATTAAATTTTACAAAAGACAATTGAGCCTGTATTTTATAAATGAAATATTTGTAAAGGATTTTTTGAGTGAAATTTTTCAAAGGAGTCTAGTCTAGGCATAAACTTCGATATTTTATATGAATAGGATAATCGAGACACATAAATAAAATTTTTCAAAGGATAGTCGAAACACAAACGTGGGTTTTTTAAATGAAATTTTTCAAAGGAGTCTAGGCATAAACTTGGATTTTTTAAAGGAAATTTTTGAAAGAATAGTCGGGACATAATCGTTGATTTTTTAAATGAAATTTTTCAAAGGATAGCAAAGATAGATATATCCTTTAAATTTTTTTTTTCAAGGATCAACCAGTCATGTTGGGAATTTTTTATGAAGAAAAAATTTCAAGGCTCAATAGAACCATATGCGAGGATTTTTTTTTTTTTTTTTTTTAAATTTAATAATTTACATTTCTTTGCAACACAAAAATTGGATTTTTTATTTTTATTAAATTTTTAGAGATTTGTATTTAATAATTTTAAACATTTTTTAGGTACCAAGGATCACTTTTTTTATTTTTTTTTTTCAATTTAACTTTAAGTTTTTTTTTTTTAATAAAAATTCTCTACCGTCACATAAAATAAATTATCGAGTTAAGAATGACAAATTGGGCTAATTCTTCTCTATATAATGAGAGTTAACGATCTGAAGCAGCAAAAATTACGTAAATTTCTTTGGAAAACCTCTTCACATTTTTAATACGGAATCGAATTTGACTTTGACAAAAATCGTAATTTTTCACTTGTCAATTAGTTTTGTAACA